CCCATGCTATTTAAAAGCTTAGATCTCACACTAATTGGCCAGCTGGGTCCAGAGTTCAATATACAAATCTGGAGATGGGATTTGTGACTTAACAGTCGACAAGAGGAGCCTTAAACTGTCCAATTATAAAACCAGCCAGAGCGCACACCTATTTTTGGTTCATGGCAAACAGAAAAAAAATGCGATAACGAACTCCAAGAGGAAGTTGTTTAATGTGAGTTTATCAGTTATCTGTTTCAAATAAATCAACTTTGGTTGTCTGTCAGGGCAGACTGTCAAACCTGTCTTCACTCCGCTCTCTGAATCTTTTAATAACACTATAGACGAGTGACAAAGAAAAATCATGTGCAAATTGCTGTCCCTTAACCGCCTCACTGACAAGTTGTTTTCGTTTAAAAGAAGCATTACCATAACCCTTATTTGAAATATTGAAATATTGAATATTAACATAGGTTGAAAGAAGGGACACTTAAAGGTAGATTACTAGGCATTTGAAACTACTTACAGTTGCACAGCTGGGACTTTACTTCCTGGCTGTACCTGGTTATAACAACAATTTCATAAATAAACTACAGGGACTCAGTAGCAAAATTTGTTTAACTATTAGGCTTTTCTGTGATTTTATTTTTTAGTCTACGCTTAACATAAATATCTTCTAGCCAAACTTTACTTTTATTTATTTAATTATTTATTTATTTATTTTTTAATTCTTTATTTTTGCGTGCATGAGATTTATATATATATGGTACAACATATGCATCACATGAGAGAATAGCAGGTTACAACGTTTGATGTTTGACGCATTCGGCAAGTTCAGCACAATTTTTTGTTACATGCCTGAAATCCTAGGTGTGTAGTTTTGTAGGAGTATTGTCGAGTTATTCATTCGTGGGTTTATTACCTAGGTCTTGGGTCAGTGGTGGATGCCTGGGCCCATCGAAGCTTTTAACTAGTTGTGTGAGTTTATAGCGTGTTGCAGGGGCCTGTGATGGTTCAGTGAGTGTTGTGTTGTCGGTCGGTAAATTGTGTGAGTAGCCCTAGGGTTTGTTCCTGCGCCCCGAGGGGGGTTTAGTGAGCAAATATCAATGGAGACTACTCGTGAGGGGTGGTGGCCCTAACCATGGGGCTTTCAGGGGGTAGGTGTTGTCTTGAGCTGTGGTTTGTGTACTGGTGGTGCAGTTGCGCATCCGCGTCTGCTTCAGCCGTCACCGCTAGCATGCATCAAACAGGTGTAATAAACTTTGAGGTTACAGAGCTTGGAGGGTGGGGAGAAAACAGAGTTCATTAAACATTAAACCTTAAACATGGCGAGGTAGTGTCGCAGTTGAGCGGGCAGAAGCAAGAGACCTCTCTCCCCCTGTCCGTCAGATGGCTTGTGCATTGGTTCTCTGTCTTCTCGGCACAAATGTTTCTGAGGTTGCCGGGTTCCAATCGTGGGTTATGTCCTGGGTAGGCAAGCTCTGTAGGCCCAATCTTTTGAGGAGTTCAGGGGCCTCCGTCCCACAGTTGAGTTAATGTGTGGTCCCCTGGTGGGTGACAAGCAAGGAGCGTCGGTTTCCCCACCTGTATGGTATTCCCGTTGTGCGTAGTTGGCTGGTGAGTTCAGTAAGCGATTTTCTCCATTGGAGGGTGGCTTTGGATAAGTCCTGGTAAAAGGTCAGTTGGGACTCCTCGAAATCAAGCGGGGTCTTGCCCTTGATTGAGCTCATAATGTGCCCTTTATCTTGGGGTAGGACGCAGCGGATGATGATGTCTCCAGCTAGTGTTGCTGCTGCTCTGGGTGGAGTGGGTAGTCGGTAGATCCCTGCGAAGGTGAGCTTCTTTGTTACTGCAGAATGAAGTAGTGATTGTGGGAGTTGCCTCACGTAGTGTGGTAGGTTTTCTGTGCTCACCGAGGCCGGGATTCCTCTAATTTTGATATGGTTGTGCTGGCTTTTGTCCTCCTGTACTGCTAACTGGATTGCCAGGTGCTGGTGGTCTTGTTGTAGTTGGTGGAGTGAGTATTGCAGTGTGGAGATTTCTCCCTGTATTGTTTTGACTTGTCCCTCAGTGTTGGTCACTTTTTCTGTGATCTGCTGCATGCTCGTTTTGAGCGCTGGTAGGTCTGCTGCCAGCAGGCGTTGTATATCTTGGAGCATAGTCTGCATCTGCTGCAGGTCCTGTTTGGTGGCTGGGTCTGCTGCTCCTAGCAGGGGTGTGGGTTTGGTGAGTGTAGCCTGTGTGGGTTGTGGGGTTTTCTTTGTTTCCCATTGGGTGGTTTGGGCTGGAGGGGTATCTGCCTGTGGAGGGTCTGGGCCCTGTTTGGCTTCCATTTTGGCTGGGGTGTGTTTTTGCAGCATTACCCCTATATCTGTCTGTGCTGTGGCAGTACCTTGCTGTGGTCTCTGCGATCTGCGCCCCATCTCCTGGTGGTCGGGATCAGGGTCCTGCAGTAGTTTGTCACTCGAGTCTCCCGGCTTTCTCCGCCCCACAGGTACTCCAGGCCACGGTAGTTTGGTGTGTAGTTGCCCGGTTTTTCAGTTTGGGCTTTGCCTGCCTCGGCGTGTGCCGAAATGGCATCGGGTTGTGCAGGATGGTGTCCCCTTTGCAGTGCCGGTATTTATTTGCCTGGATGACATATTGTTTGTTTGATATTAAAGGATTCTGTGCCGTTTACACGGAGCAGCTAGTAATGGCATCCAGCCCGCTTCGCTGCTAAGCTCACCCCCAAAACTTTACTTTAAACCTTCTTGCTATTTTCATTTTGCATTCAGCTTGCATTCAAAATCAAATAATTTGTATTACATTTTGAAAAACGTTGGTAACATCAGCTTGGGAAAAGGGTACTGAAGAAAACAAGGGAAAGTTGGAAAAATGTCTATCCACAATAATATAATGATCCTGAGTGCAGCTACCTTTCTACTGCTCACAATAATATATATTTGGCCTGAATTTGTGGGAGGAGTTATGAACCTATATCCTATATAAACCCTACCCCCCCTACTTACCTTTGTTGTGCAAGCTGTTTGTCTCCATAGTTACCTGCACTTCCGGTCGTTGTTCCTGCCAGTCCTGCCTCGAAGAAACAGTTGTCTTCTGCAGCTCCTGCCGCCGACATCTGGGCTCGTCCACCAGCTACCCCGCTGTATTCCTTACTCGTTACCCAGCTTTCTTGCTTCCGGTCATGGGACCGGCACGCACACGTAAGCATCAACTTGGGAAATAGCGTTCGGCTATTTCCCACGTTCGGGCCTAAAAACGCGGGAATAGGCTTCCTATATTACTTACCTGTTCGTATAATTCTGCTGTTCGTTTACTTCTGCGTTTGTGCGGCTATTAGCCAACCGCAGAGTACACACTCGTTCGTTTTTCTTTCGTTAGTATTAAATACAGCTTATGCTCACCTATGTTCGCCTGTTTCTTACATACGTTCATTAGCCGAAACACGTATGAACGGCTGTTCTACTAGCTTTTAGTTTTTCATAATTTATCACATGCGGTCCTGTTATATCCCTCTTGCACTTTCATTAACCGTACGCATGCGGTTTTATGCAGTTATTTGTATAATTTTAAGTATGTTCCTCAAATTTGTTCCTTTTATAGAACATATGTACACAGTTCTCCCTACGTTTTCCTTAAATCAGAGTGTCACTATTCATCACCAACAGTAACATTTAATTATGCATAAATTCCCAGGGGCATTCTCTTAAAGACACAGTTGGCCCCCTTACGCTTTTTTGATGTCAATAGGTCAAGCCCATCAAACCGCTTAAATTTATCCAGCTCCACGCTCAATTTGTTCATTTGCTCTTATTTCTAAAATCTCTATTTATATTAAAAACACTATACTCTGGTTCCTTATTTTTAAATAATGAACGTGTTTTAGGTTCTACTCCTCTTCTTCAAGAAAACTCCAGGAGGTGGTTCCAGTATCCCATCTCACGGTATCAGGTAGAAAAAGGTTAACATTTTTACGTCTCTCCTAAGGCCTCATTCAGCCTCCACGGCCTTTTTTACTATCCCCTTCCACCTCCCACAGTGGGTCCTAACTTCAAACACACCAGGTCTAAAGATGCCTCACCCTCCATGTTACTATTATATTAATGTGTTAAATTTGTTTATCATTTCTACATATCATTACTTAGACCTGCACCATGTCGCAGATTCACTACGCCATCAACAAACCAACAGGCTACCTGGTCCCCGAACGATTACGTTCCTTCTAAGACCTCACTTTGCCTTCATATCTTTCACAAGTAATGCACATTTGTAGGAATCCAGGGGCTTGTCTCAAATTATTTAGACCAACGTTCAGGTCCCTCAGCTTACACTGGTCCTTACGCTACAGTTTCGCTGTTACACTCCCTTCCATACGTTCTACATTTTTACACTTGGCATACCAGTGGCACGCCTCAGGCCTGCTAGCATCCTTTTACCCTTAGGTTCCTGGACTGGACCTGTTCTTCGCAGTATATATATATTTATACATATATATTGAAGTCGCCCTGAGCATTGTCTAAATATATAGGACAAACACTCAAGGTCAGTATCTACATATGATACATACTTCCTTTCTAGAGACAAGCCCAGTCAGGTTAGAGAACTGGCTTTCAGGGTTAGGCGCTGGCCCTAGCTTTCCCAAATAATGCTGCGGTCCGCGAGGTCTACACTCCCACCTCATACACGGAGGTTCAGCCCCACGACCAAATCATAGCTAGCCACCTCGCTCGCTCTTCTTTGGGCTACAGTTAGGGCTACCCAAGTCACGGCCACAGGTTTTGAATCTCTTACTGTCACCGAGAGGCCAACATCTTGCCACCTCGTTCTGGTGGCCACAAAACCCCCTCAGCCCAAATCATAGGTAGAGCCTCTCACCGCCACTTGGCAATAGCAGGGCCTCACCTGTCACTTGGTCCTAGGTTAATTCTTCGCCTCGGCACTAGCTAGCAGGCCAGTTCTCCGGAGGTCTCATCCCCACCTCTACGACACCTTACTTATCCAAATCATTATTTCTTTTCAGAATGTCACAGGAATCCATCCCAATAATCGGTCTACTGTTGGACGAAATACCCAGCACACCAGTCAGGCCTGGGTCTCCGAAGGAATCTCTCACCCTTTCTTTGTTCGTTCCCTTCTTTGTTCGTTCTATACATCCATACCACTCATACAGCCCTATTTTGTCACACAGCAGCTCAGGACTAACATTAAGCACTCTGCCTTCCACTACAATATCTCTACACATGGCCCTCACCAAGCCTTCACTCCATACGTTAACACATGGCCCATTACAGGCACTATGGCAATTCCGGCCCCTCATTTGGGCAGTTACGTCAATTTCGGCCCCACATTTGGGCAATTACATACGTCTAATTTCTAATTTACGAGGGATAAAGAATACAACCTTTCATACTACATTCCTAATATTACGCATGACCTCGTTAGGCCCACGCATGTCTTTTCCCTCTCTCGGCACACACCCGAGAACTCGGTACCTATCACTATGCTTTTAACATATCCAGGCTTCTTGGGTCTGTCACAAATTTAACTGTTTAGTCCCTCTTACCACTCCTTCATCCCATGCACTAGACTGGGAGGCGGGCAATAGGACAAGCGGGGCTGACCATTAATTTCTGGGCAATGCGCGGGCGAGCTATGACTTTAATGCTGAGGTATGCTATTTTCACTACATACAGGGTATCACACATCCGCTTCATCTGCTCAAGAACTCACACCTAGTCCACATATACAGCCCGTCTGTCACCCAAGATATGTCTAACTAGGTCAACATTGACATCCTGGTATACTATCTGCATTTACACCCAGCTGGGCATATGGTAGATTCCCACGGGTACACTCGTTTGCCCTAACCTATTATCTACATCTATTGACCCACTTATGGTGGACCACCTTCTGTCCACAGCAATCATATGCTGGTTTCTCGATCGACCCTTTCCGGTCTTCACGTTTTCTCATCTTGGTGTACCACTCCCATCGGGGTAGCCATTCACAGTACCCAAATACGTTTGATCATAGACCTCTTCGCACCGCTCTCTGCAGAAACCCTCTGCTGGCCGCTCCTAAATATATTCAGGTTTCCATCAGTCATCCACGTTCTGGATGAATTTTTGTTGATTTCACGGGTTCACAAACACCTAACAGTATTTACACCACCACAGCCTCCCCTCCTACCCCCCCTTTTTCAGTCGGTCCCTCTTCCAGGCGGTCCCTCTTCCAGGCTTGCTTTCTGAGGCATAGTATTGGACTACTTTCCAAGCCAGCCTCCCAGACGTTCTGTTCCGCATTTTGAATGGATTTGTCCTACTCCAGCGGAGTGTTGCGCACAATTGGAGGGGGCTTCGGTTCTGGTTTAGGCCCCTCAACTTTGTTGTGCGTATCATTCTGCAGGGTTGGTCTCTTGTCCCTGGGCTACTTAAATTTGCTCCACGAGGTACCAACCCCTGCCCAACCATTCGGGCGATCCAGCCAGGGCAGTTTTACACAATTGGAGTAGTTTTTCAGCTGCATGGATTGGGATCTCTTTGGTCATTCCCCCACTTTCAAACACTCACTTTCAATTCACACAGACGCAGCAGCACACACAGGGTTTGCAGCCTTTTTCAGGAACCACTCGTTAGGGACGCCTGGCCCACTGAGTCGGATGCCTTGCTGGCCTTTGGAGAGACCTCTACTTTGTTGGAGATCTACCCTTTCGTGGTGGCCTCCCTCACTCTGGGTGATCTTTGGACCAGAAAGGCAGTTGTATGCTGCTCTGACGATTCCGTAGCCTGCGATTTCATTAGCAAGGGCGGTCATACTCACCACCACTGTGGCTGATTCGCAGGCTGATTTGGCAGGCAGCAACCCCTCAGTTCTTTCTGGTCTACATTTACATTCCTGGTGTCCACTACACAGCCGCTGACACTTTCTCACGCCCTCATTTTAAGGTCTTCTTTCAGGCACTCCCTATGATCCACTACATATCATCCAGGATACCACCATTCCATGAGCTAATCTTGGACTAAGCACACAATTACACCATGTACAAGTGCGTTCGCTTCACGCAGTTTCACGACTACTCTATCACTCACGCCAGGGCCTTGTATATTGTACATGTCACAATTAGAGTTTGCTTGAATCAAGACTTTTGCAGTTAAATATGGTTATTTTTTGCTTCTTTCTCCAAACCTATAAATCAAGCATCTTACTTAAACCTCCTGTGCTGTCACTCCGCTTTACATCTCCAAGGTCAATCACACACTATCAGTCCTAATCCACTACTTCACGTCTAAACCTTCCATTAAGGTGGAGCTACATCATGGCTTCCTTCGCCGGCCTCTCTGTCACAAAGCGCTGCATCAGCAGCTTCAAGCTCTTACACCCCAGTCTACATCACTAAGTGTCGGGGCCACAGGCAATCCTCAGCGCAGTTACATATATACCTCAATCAGAGTAAAAGCTCCTCACAAGCTTTCAGTACCCATGCTGTATAAACTTGCATAAAGTGTGTTTTCTTTGAATGCTCTTTTGCCCTCTTTTACAGGCCTACTCGTACGTTGGTTTCAGCACACCTCAACCAACTTTGCTTCTCCTTCTACATCCCATTACATATTAGATAAATTCCGAGCACAAGTTGGAAGGCCATTTGGCCTGAATTTGTGGGAGGAGTTATGATCCTATATCCTATATAAATCCTACCCCCCCCTACTTACCTTTGTCGTGCAAGCTGTTTGTCCCCACCCACCTACACCCATCTATATTAACAATTCACCTTTGTGGGCCCTCTTTTACAGGCCTACTCGTATGTTGGTTTCGGCACACCTCAACCAACTTTGCTTCTCCTTCTACATCCCATTACATATTAGATAAATTCTGAGAACAAATATATATATATATATGTGTGTGTGTGTAACAAAATAGGACATATAAATATACAAGAAATGTACACGAAAATATGGTTCTAATAACACTCCATACATTGCTTAACAATTTCAAATCTAGATGCTTATAGTGAAAAGAGTCTCTTGATTAAAATATACATTGTATTTGCACATTTTAATCTCCAAAAATCTAAGCACCCCCTCTCTGCAAGGCAACCAGTACTGTCATAATAAAAGAAATGAAAGGTAAAAGCTCTAAGATAAGAGAGGGAAAAAACTCAGCCCTTGTAAATAAAGAAAAGAGATGAGTCAGAGTAATGTCAGACTCTTGGGATCTTTGGAAATCAAACAGACAATAGCTCTAGATTGTTTCTATTTATGAGAAAAATTGCAGATATAACATTTAATGTCCATAAACATTTTAAAAATAAAAGAAAAATATTGCTTTACAGAGTGGAAAGTATAAAAAAAAATGTGGGGAGGGGGAAGTAGGGGAAGGGGGGAGGCTAAAGTATATACAAACTTAAAATAGGTCTTGGGAGGAAAAAAGAAAAATTATACTCCCCAAAAAAATGAACAGGCCTATAAGGTAGGGTGGGGGAGAATATATTAATATACATGAATTAAAGACTGATCTGGACACAGTGATAAATATAATTTAATTTAGAAAATAGAGATACTTAAGAACTATTTAAACTGTATTAAAAATAATATATAAAAATATGCACATAAAGTTAACTGCCAATAACGAGAGGCAAAAAATATTAATAAGTATTAATATTATTAATAAAAATATTTAAGAACTATTTAAACGGCATTAATAATAATATATAAAAACAAATATGTACAATTACATAATATGAACTACTGAAATGGAGGGGCATCAAATAAAATATGGAAACACCGGTAATCTTTAAGTTACTTAATAATAAATGATGTTCCATCACCGTAAATATTAGCAACGTCAACGACGCCCTAAAAAAACTATTATCATACATTACCTAAAGGAACACTATAGTCACCTAAATTACTTTAGCAAAATAAAGCAGTTTTAGTGTATAGATCATTCCCCTGCAATTTCACTTCTCAATTCACTATCATTTAGGAGTTAAATCACTTTGTTTCTGTTTATGCAGCCCTAGCCACACCTCCCCTGGCTATGATTGACAGAGCCTGCATGAAAAAAAAAAACTGGTTTCACTTTTAAACAGATGTAATTTACCTTAAATAATTGTATCTCACTCTCTAAATTGAACTTTAATCACATACAGGAGGCTCTTGCAGGGTCTAGCAAGCTATTAACATAGCAGGGGATAAGAAAATCTTAATTAAACAGAACTTGCAATAAAGAAAGCCTAAATAGGGCTCTCTTTACAGGAAGTGTTTATGGAAGGCTGTGCAAGTCACATGCAGGGAGGTGTGACTAGGGTTCATAAACAAAGGGATTTAACTCCTAAATGGCAGAGGATTGAGCAGTGAGGCTGCAGGGGCATGTTCTATACACCAAAACTGCTTCATTAAGCTAAAGTTGTTCAGGTGACTATAGTGTCCCTTAAGCTGCTGTAGAACATCATTGCTTCAACATAGAAAACATGGTTTTAGCTAGTTTAACTATGCTCAAATTCCTTCTTGTGAGCTAACACTGTATAATGGTGATGAAACATTTTTTTAAAAAAAGTCTTTATTTGCAATAGCAGGTTAAACTGCTGCAGAAGATCTCTGAAAATCCTTGACTGTTTAGTTAGCTTGTACTATAACTAGAGGAACGCTGCTTTGCTTATCCCTTTTCCAAAAGCACCTGATTGCAATCGTCACCTAACTTTCAGCTAGAACAACTGTTATGGGAAATGGTGCATGTCAGCAGTCTATAAATCCTGAGTGGGAGCTTTGACACGGGGTCTAGATCTTAAAAGAGCCATGTCATAGGGTCTTGCAAAATTATTTTTTATTTCTTCTTCTTATATAATATCATTTTTTTCTGGCTTTTCTTTTTCTGATATGTGAATGTTATCCTGATTTAAAGGATCTGAGTATATGTCACAGGCATGCACAAGGGTTAAAGGAACATCATAGCATTAGGATTTAATGATTGTTTCTCAAATGATGCATATTTATTTTTTGGAGAATTAGTTTTTTGAGCCACCATATTGGGTTAGCTTTGGCTTTTATCTAACCACCAGCTGCTCAGCCTAACTTGCCTGCTGCTTGAGACTCGCATAGACCATTAAAGGACCATAATGGTGAAAGTTTGTAAAAGTGCCGTTTTCTATTAGTAATCAGCACTTTTATATACAATGAATGAAACAGCCTCTGGCTGTTAACTGGGTTTTTTTTCTACTTCCGTTAGCTCCCTACTTGAGCGCACCTGCAACCTCCCTGCATACCTCAGACCAGTATGCTGCTCGTGCTGCTCCAAATAAGCTATCATGCGCACACACAGCAGATGCATGTGCAAGAGCAGGTACACACGACTGCAGGAGGAGCCTCTGATTGGCTACTTCCCCATGAAATTCTCTTCCAGAGAAAAAGGCTAGAGCTTGCAAAGGCTGCAGTCCATAAGAACTGCAGGTTTTGAAAACTGTTTTAAGATATACCCCCAATGAATGCATGCATGTATTCATTAGGGTGTATCTACTAAACAGTAATTTCAATTTTTTTTCTCTTTGTTATATGGGTAGTGGAGTGTTCCTTTGTTTAAGCCTTGTGTTTAAGAGCTTTTCTGGGAAGCTCCTTCCCTACCTGAGCAGAATGCTTTCCCCAGCTGTTGCCACCTCCCATAGCCTCCGATCCAGTACCAGCACTTTATTTAGTCTACCTCAATACAAAAAGAAAGCAGTCCGATCCTCCTTTTCCTACAGAGCACCGCAATTATGGAACGACCTTCCGCACACTTTCAAATATTCCCCAAGCCTAAAGTCCTTTAAGAGATCCCTCTCTACATACCTCAAAACAGAATGCACTGTTCTATGTTAAATTTTGTATATGTTGTGTATTAATATTGATTTTGTATTTTATTGTATCCTATTGTATCAATGCAATGGTTTGTGGACCCAGGACATACTTGAAAATGAGAGAAATCTCAATGTATCTTTCCTGGTAAAATATTTTATAAATAAATAAAGATACATTTTAAATTGATGATTAAAAAAGTTGTTTTTTTTCACTGAGTTTCAAATATTCACAGTTGCAATTCACAGTTCCACTAGTACCTTACAGTTTGACTAATAATAATAATAATAATAATAATAATAATCTGCTATACTCCATATCCACACAGTATTACCAGCACCCACCACAGGCATGGGTTACCAATGAAATTCACTGCTGAATTAGAGGTAAGTTAACCACTTTTCTTTACAGAAAAATGAAGAAGAAATAGGGTTTAGGAAATCCACCAGCATTATAAATAATTGTATTTGTTCATTTAATTCCCTCCAGCATGCTAAGTCCGCTGAAATCATTAGCACCCCGAATGACTCGTCTGCTGTTTCGTAATTCATCATCACATCTATTCGTATTCATATCTGTAAGATTAAGGTGGCATTAACTAATTCAGTGTCCTTGCAGAGAATCTAACTTTTAAAGATTCTCCTTAGAGTCAAAGAATGGATAATGAGAATACTTGATCGGTTTCCTAATTAAAACATTCTTTTTTTCAATTCCCATACCTGATCCCAGCAGCAATCTACCTTGGCAGTGTATCTGGAGTGGCTTTTCCTGCGGCTGTATGTGTGGCTGCTAAGCTTTTCTGTGATGACCCTAAGGAACCTCTTAGTTTTCTGCCAAATGAGGCCTGACTTTACTTGCTTGCTAGCTAAGCACGGGGATGTTGGAAATGACACTTTGGTACTGTAAGGGTATCACTGGGAACAAAGTAGTAGAAAATAAAAAAAAGTGTGCTTTCGAAAAATATAATGATTTAAAGTTTTAAAGACAGTTTGCAAAATAAAAACTCATTCTGCTTGCAAACTTTCCTCCTGAGAAACTGTGTGTTAGGCCATACATTGAATTGAAGACATGGAAACTGAAACATTTGGGGAGATTTATTATATTTTTATTCCTAATTTCCTGACCAATATACTAAAATTATAAGTTATTTTCATCTGACACACCTTTTACGTTCTAAGCAGCCTTTTTGAATATGCATTTTTTTTCGGATACGCAACAGATTTATTAATGTTTGTACCACTTTTTGAGAGGGAAAAGTATTCCGTTTCACTTCACTCACTCACAATTTGATGATATTCAGAAACTGATTTTTCTGTGAAAACTCACAGAATTTAGTATGAAGAAAATTGTTATTTTCAGATCTCGTTTAGAACACTTTAAAAATATTTGATCGAAATAAAAAAAAACTTTCACTTTTCAGACATTTTGATAAAAATGTATTGAATTATGAATTATCTATTAAAGACATTTATGTGGCAATGAAAACATCAGATAATGCACGAATTGATGAGACGATAGTCTCCCTGTGTAGTGGCAAAGGTCTACAATGGATATTTATGAGGAAGCCTGTATTAAAGTGAAGTTGTTTTTAAGAACTATAAACATTGCTTAGATAAGAAGGATGTGTCCTTATGTAATTTGCAAATGACATGTCTGTATGATAAAAAAATCTGAAAAAAACAATTATATAATAAAATAGCACTCAAGAAAATCTAACAAAGACAACAAAAGAAACAGTTGTGAAACTTAAGAGATGGACAAATATTTAAAGAAATGCACATCACTGCTGTTATAGTAAAATCAAGAACAAGACATTATTATTACGAGTCATTTTTCCTTTGACCCAGGGAGGTCTGGTTAATATTAGTATTTCATTAAAAGGAGCTATTGATTACTTCACTTATTATGTTATTATAATAAAAGCTAAGTTTTAACTCTAAAATCATTCGAATTATGTTATAGGACTTGGTAACAAACACATACTGGGTTGTCATCTTAAGAACCTCGAAGTACAAGGACAAGGTGTCAGGATTCTAACCTGAAAACCAAAATATTATTTTATTTATTCTGTTGTATTTCCATATATACCAGTTTTTCACCACTAGTGGCCTCCCTAACCAGCAGTCTAACAGTCTCTTTCACCTGCATAGCATGATCATTTAAATCTGCTTTAAAAGGCCACCCCCCCGATAACCAAGTCGCCTTTACATTGATAGAAGTTTGTGTTCTGTTCCTGAAAATACTTCCGATCATACTATTTTCTGATTACCATTGAACCATCCTGATTTATCAATACCAACCTGCTTTGTTTCCAGTCGGCTCTTTTCCAAGATGTTTGACAACAAAACCTGATCATTAATACCAACCAGCTTTATTCCATCCAGGACTGTGTTACCTTTCTACCTTGTTGCAAACCTACTTTACAATTACCGGAATCAACACAAGCAACCTGGATAAAACAAACTTTCCTACTATTTGCATCTTTCCTAAATAACCTTATTAGAACTATCTGATAATTGCATTATTGCCTCCAAACAAAAGAGACTTTATTTCTGTTTTATTATATTAAACTTGCCTGTAACCTATCATTGTAGGTTTTCCTTATTTTGATTTACCTGTAACCTCACTTATAGGTTTCCCTGTCACCTGATAACCTGCTTGGGGCATATTGCCTAACTCTTTATTTCTGTTCTTTCTTTATGCTAAACTATAATTCCGTTTACAGGTTCTCCTTCTTGTTTCTGCCTATAATTCCGCTTATAGGTTCTCCTTCTTCTTTATACCTATAATTCCGCTTATAGGTTCTCCTTCTTCTCTATACCTATAATTCCGCTTATAGGTTCTCCTTCTTCTTTATATCTATAATTTCGCTTATAGGTTCTCTTTCCTCCTTCTACCTATAATTCCGCTTATAGGTTCTGCTTCTTCTTTATACCTATAATTCCGCTTATAGGTTCTCCTTCTTCCTTCTACCTATAATTCCGCTTATAGGTTCTCCTTCTTCTTTATACCTATAATTCCGCTTATAGGTTCTCCTTCTTCCTTCTACCTATAATTCCGCTTATAGGTTCTCCTTCTTCTTTATACCTATAATTCCGCTTATAGGTTCTCCTTCTTCCTTCTACCTATAATTCCGCTTATAGGTTCTCCTTCTTCTTTATACCTATAATTCCGCTTATAGGTTCTCCTTCTTCCTTCTACCTATAATTCCGCTTATAGGTTCTCCTTCTTCTTTATACCTATAATTCCGCTTATAGGTTCTCCTTCCTCCTTCTACCTATAATTCCGCTTATAGGTTCTCCTTCTTCTTTATACCTATAATTCCGCTTATAGGTTCTCCTTCTTCTCTATACCTATAATTTCGCTTATAGGTTCTCCTTCTTCTTTATACCTATAATTCCGCTTATAGGTTCTCCTTCTTCTCTATACCTATAATTTCGCTTATAGGTTCTCCTTCCTCCTTCTACCTATAATTCTGCTTATAGCTTCTCCTTCTTCTTTATACCTATAATTCCACTTATAGGTTCTCCTTCCTCCTTCCACCTATAATTACGCTTATAGGTTCTCCTTCCTCCTTCTACCTATAATTACACTTATAGGTTCTCCTTCCTCCTTCTACCTATAATTACGCTTATAGGTTTTCCTTCCACCTTCTACCTATAATTACGCTTATAGGTTTTCCTTCCTCCTTCTACCTATAATTCCGCTTATAGGTTCTCCTTCTTCCTTATACATATAATTCCACTTATAGGTTTCCCTTCTTCCTTCTGCCTATAATTTCGCTTATAGGTTTTCCTGTTACTTTATAACCTGTCTGGGGCTTATTGCCTAAACTCTTTATTTTACAAACCTCATTATACTTACTTGTAATCTCGTTTATAGGTTCTGCATTCTTCCTTTGTCCTTATTATTTCCATTCCCCTTTAACTCTTCTTACACTTATTATTTTAAGTCAAAAACATGTCAAAGATTTCCAATAAAGAACCTAAAGTCAACCTTGGCATAAGTCTCTTATCTGACCTAATCAGAACCATGACACAATGACTAAAATTGTAAAACTACCAGTAATATGGACAAGAGCACAATGGTCAGTGCCATTCGAGTTAATCAGACAAAAGGTGTCAACCAATTCTATCCTAGGGGTGCCTCAGGAAATCAGTACAGAATGTTGGCAGAGGATCTCCATTTTCATGTAGCATTACTATATTAACAAGAAAAGCTCATCAGATAAGTATACAGCTGATACTGGTTAAATTTGTCCATAACCAGTGTGTTATGGGAGGTTTGAGATGCAAATATATAGTGTCCTTGAGGCCCATCTAGTTATTTTGATTGGGTCTTTGTACTTTAGTATAAGCCTTGGAGTGAGTTTCAGCCACAAAGCCAGATACTAAATTGCCTGAAGGCATGTTTAAAATAAGAAGTCTCATGAGTTGCACCAGGGCCGGCGCTACCATAAGGCGGTACAGGCGGCCTCCTTAGGGCGTAGAGGTCCAGAGGCGCAATATCTGAGGTCCTGATGAACATTAAATAGGAGAGTACACAGCGCTCTCCCTCCTGCCAGTCCTTTTTGTACCATGGCCAAGCGGAGCATGCTGCGATAGATGATCTCTCCTCGGTTTGACAGGAAGTGCTCAGTGAAATCACTGAACAGCTTCCTGTCAGTCTGGGTAAACAAAACAGACACTCCTTTACCACTTGGCCATGCTAAATGGAGGGAGATCAGCAGGTGTGCATGGAGTGAACAGAGAAAGGCATACAAAAGGAGCTGGGGAAAGGGACAATAATACAGGGAGGGGCTTGGGAAGTTGACAATGACATTCACAGAGGGACTGGGGAAAGGTACAAGAACAAATGAGAGGCTGGGGAAGGGGACAATAATACAGAGGGAGGCTGGAGAAGTGGACAATGACACATAGAGAGGGGCTGGAGAAGGGATCAATGGCCCACAATGGGACTAGGGAAGGGAACAATGACACACTGAGGATGGAAACAATGAAACAAGGGGGTGGTGGAGAAAGACACACATAAAAGGGCTTGGGGTAATTAAGAGACACATAAGGATCTGGAGGAAAGTAAGACACCCAAAGGGGGAAAGTAAGAGACATACGAAGGGAATAAGTGGGGGATAAGTTACACTAAAAGGGGATGTAAGACACAAAAGGAGGGTAAGATACAGAAAAAGAGGTATGACATTCAAAAGATGTGATAAGAAACACAAAAAGGGGTAGGGAATTCAAAAGGGGGGTTAGGAGACACACAGGTGAGAATGTATTTTTTTTTGGGGGGGTGGGATGGGTGTCAATATGCATTGTTGCCTAAGTAGTCAAAAATGATTGCACCAGCCCTGAGTTGCACTAATGGAATTTCTGTACAAGGGATAGCAGTGAGTACATGTATACAAAATGCACCCTGCTGGGGGGCTCAGTCCCTTAGTACATGTAAGGTAGTATAAGAATGAAAAGGAAGTATATAGTGTAGGAACAGTGTGATATAACATCTTTCCCTAAAAATTAAAGTTGATTGATAGAGATTCCATTTTTCTGCTGTTGTAAATAGTACGTACAAAAAGTGGTGGCTAGCCCTAAGATTCCTGTGGCTCTGTCAGACTCAGTAGCAAGCAATCTCTTGAAAGCTTATTAACAGTTTCTACTCCTCAACATAAATCTGCTGTGAAAAAAATGTACAGTAAATTTATGACTAGACAGTTGGATTAGGGTGTTGCCAGGCCAAAATTCTCCCCATGGAATAAAAACATGCCAAACAAGAATTATGACATTGTCTCAGTGTTTCCTGGAGCCTCGAAGTGGTTCATAGTGTGGTACACTGTTGTGCCCACAATTGTGTGCTATGCTTGCAAGTTTTTTGGACTTGTCCATTATCTTTCTGCTGCAGGAAGAGTGTAGGCTTTTTATGCACAACAATCAATTCTGGAATTTGCTTACAGAGCCACTCCTGCCTCCAATAATGAAATACATAAATCATCGTTTAGTAGATATACCATCCATTAAAACATACATGCATTTAAGTATATATGTTTCATTAGGTATATGTCCAAAAACAGGTTGCGGATCTCTTCTCAGATTCCTCTGTAAGGTTTCAGACAAGAGAGCTGCAGCTTTTGCAAGCTTGTCTTCTTCCCCAGCTCAGACTTTCTGTGGTTTTGGTTTCCAAATGCCTTGACAGTAACATAAATTGGACGCAACAGAGATATCTAAAATATCAAGATAAAAATACAATAAGGAACCTGTTTATTTGGCTATTCTCCACATTAGCTGAATACTAATGAGTTTATCTTGATCATATCAGACTAATGTCCACGGCAGTATTGAGGGAGAGATTCTAAAGATAGTCCAGATCTATTTACATATAATTTCTCATGTTTTCCATTTTTAATATTGCTATTATTTATACAGCACCAACATTTTTTTCAAAACTGTATGAATTCACGAGACATACGGTTGCGTTCAATGTACAAGTTTGACTTACAGGAACAAGAAGTAATGAAAACCCTGTTCAAACAAGCTTATATTGTGAAGCATGGGTGCCCAAAAGGTAGATCCCCAGATGTTATAGCACTACAACTCCCATGATGCTTTTCATACCTTTAGCATGCTTGTACAATTACAAAGCATCATGGCAGTTGTAGTTTTAAAACATCTGGGGATCTACTTTTTGGGCACCCCTGATCTAAAGGATTCTGCTCCTATTTAGATAAAGTTTCATTCCCTATTCCATTCCATACAGAATTAAAAAGACACAAGCTTTTCCAGATTGCATGGGTGAAATTGCCTGATTTGTCACTAATATATAAACAGGCAGTCAGATGCAGGAGAATATTGATAGGCAGAAGCTCAGTAAGACGCAATACTCACACTAAACACTAGGTGGCTCTAAAATGTACCAATGCATGTAATATAGTTTCACTCACATTTTTTTTTTAACTAATGCTGCATAAAGAATAGAGATTTAATATCCTATTAACAAAAAGTATTTCAAGGAGGCAGTAAAATAAGCAGATCAAATTTGTGGTTAATTAAAGGTACACTTGAAAAACATAACACACCAGATAGCTGAATTGCTTTTTGTGTGAATAGTGTGTCTATTTTTTTTGTTTTGCAAAAGTGCCATAAATGAACCTTGTTTCACCTCCCTGGCTGTCAATCAGACAGCTGTTCCTGTTACTTCCATTGTAATACAGCTCATTGAGAAGTCTGTGATTGGACATTCACCGCATGTCTGTGCTGGGGAAGAAGTGGAGGGCTTGCAATAACTACAGATACTATGCCTGCAGCTATTGAATGCATTAACATTTTCTATTATGGTATATCTACTACATTGTTTTTTTTTTTATTACAAATATAAATAGAGGTTGAGTACATAGGGTCATTTTGATGTTATGTCCATAATTCCTATTCAGGAGGACCTATGCAAAAAACGGATAATCACTCTGATAGGATTCCATTTTCAGAGCGTTCCTTTGGAGCTGAATTTAATTCTGTGAATTGATAATGATCTATTTCTACCCATTTGTTTAATCTATTCTTTATTGATTAGACCTGTCACTATTGCACAGTTCCAAACATTCCAAAACACCAGAGGGACAATTTAATGGCTGAAGGTGTGGCTGTGGGGGCCTGGGATATTCTGGGACAATAGATGACTTCATGACCAACTGGTAACTATTTATGTAGCATTTTTTTTTTACTGAATACAAGACCAATAGTACTTATGTGAATATGTTTATTGCAGTTTAAGACACATTGTTGTTACTTGTTTCATTGATTTTTTTTTTAATTAAGTAACACAAAGCATAACATTGTTTTGCAATATAAAGGTAAAAAAAAAATAATAATTTAAGAGAACAGAGTTGGATGAACTTTCACAATGATTTTTTTCAAAATATTAAAATATTATTTATAAAAAAAATATATAAAAATAACAAAATATGTCTACATTAATATTGTTCATACTATTAAAATGTATTTTTTTTATAAACTATTTTACCAGGAAAGATACATTGAGATTTCTCTCGTTTTCAAGTATGTCCCTTTAAAGGTTTATCTAAAAATATGAAAATCATATGAAAAGCTTATCCAACAATATTAAATCAAGGCCAAAGTCTGAGAATATATCAAACATAAAAATGGTAGCCTTGAAAACTATTTTTAGATAGATTAAATGGAAGCATTACTAAAGAAAAAAAAACAAATAACAAAAAACAAAACCCCAGATCACGGAATTTAAATTACATAGTTTTTTTTTATTCATTAGGCCCTCCAAATTAAATATTAATATTAGGGCCCCCAGCCCCTGTCACCCCCCACTATTATCTTATTTGGAGCCCCTATGTTCACTGATGGATGGGGGCTGGGGTATAAGACATTGTATTGTAATAGACCTCACCTGACCACCCAGCTGGAGACTGGGAGGGATGTTATGATCCCCAAGTATAAATTAGGATGTCCCACCCGTTTTGTTTTGCTAAATAGTACCCTGGCCACTGGCCACAGATGGGGGCAGAGAGGTGGATAGTGTTCTCTCCACTCCCCTTTATTTTTTTTAAACTTCCCAGCCTAATGCCCATGGGTTGGGTAACAAGTAGGAGTATGCGCTCCTCCTCCCCCTCCCCCCCCATAATTTTACATGGGCTGCCCAGTCACTAGTTTTAGACATTTAGTAGATATGCCTCCACCTGCGATAAGAAAAAATGAGCCATGTTCCAAACCCTTAGAACCATCATATGACTATAGAGTGTAAGTTCACCTTTTAGGAGACACCTACATTAACGTGATTAAAAACACATAGACTTGTGTTTACTGACTTCTTTATTAGAACAGTCTCATATACATTCCCCGTTTCAATTCTTTTGCTGTATTAGTTTTTACTATTACCACAAGGAGGTTATGTTACATATCTGGGACCGTATACTATCATCTGGCAGCAAGACTACTTGTCTTTTTCTTGCCTCTCCACGCAGTGGACATGAAAGGGTTATTATAGACTCTTCCATTAAATACTATTATCCTACTCAAACATTAAACCATCATGCTTTAAAAAGTCTTGCAAACGTTTCGTTCTTACAATCCCAAAATACAACAATGCCCACAACTTTACCGAAGGAAAGAAATAGTAAAATATATATAGTGTATATAGTTTTTTCACCAAGACCCATCTCAACCGGCAATGAAAGGGTTAATATCAGGGACACACAGGTGTACATTCACATACTGTCACACTAAGCCTTAAACAGTTCCTGTAGTGATCTCAGAGAGATATAGAAGCGTAAACCCTTTGTGCTCCCAGTCACTGCTCATTTAAGAATTTGGTTTCCATAGAAGCTAAGTGTAACACAACACACAATCCTGCTTCCTGGCCTCCTGGGAGAGAAGAGGCATCCACAGGGCTGGGGGCAGGGAGGCCAGTGCCACAGGTAATGTAATATGTAACACTGTATCGGCCTTACTGTTAGTGTGTATAAATGGTTTAAACAAACAGAGATCCCATGGGAAGCAAGAGGGAACTCCCATTGTGCCAAGGCAGCCTGAAGAATGTGTGGGACTTTCAGTGCAACAAGCAGGGAAACATGAAGTCAGTTTGTCTAAATGCTTGCGGTATATTACACAGGTTTTACACAGATAATATTAATTATGATAATAATAATTGTAGGGCTTATTTGCTAAAAAAAAAAAGAATTGTAGCAAATGGAACTTTATATTAATTAAGGTTAGTGCAAAACTGCCTAATATATAATGAAACTAATTTAGAAATCTTTCCAAATTTGTATGTTTGGCAAAAAGTTCAGTTTAAGTTTATAGTTCATCACAGATCACTGTTTAGTGAATAAGCCCCTACAGGATTGATCAACAAAAATCGACTTGTTATTTAATTAATATTAATTATAATTAATGAATGAGCTAATATTATAATCATTTATATAGTGCCAACATATTCCTCAGTGCTTTGCAATTATAGAAATGAAGATGATATTACAATCTACGAGGATTTCAGGTAGTTAGATTTATACTGTTAGTGTCTTCACCAAGGACACCTACTGGTGAGGTGGTAAGTTCAAATCAACCTTAATATGTTCTGAAACATGCGTCAAAGTAGCAGAACTGTTAACTTTTCCATTTAGCTTTTTTTTTTTCCTTTGAACTTTTTTGATTAACAACTTGCAAGAACCTATAAGAAACATAAAAAAAAAATAGAATGTGACGTCAGATAAGAACCCTTCGTCCCATGTAGTCTGCCTAAAAATTGACTAATAAATAAGCCTTACCCCAGATGACTGACAATTTAGGGGCTGTTAAATGGACACTAAAGGCACCCAGACAGCCGCGAGGCAAACAAGGCATTTGCCTTGGGCGGCACTTTCCAGGCAAATGCCTTGTTAATAAAACACACTAATTGAAAAAATCAATTAAAAATACATAGGATTTAGTGGAAATGGAAATGTGTAGAGCACTTCACAATAAATGAATGTTAATGTTTGCTCTCTTATTCGAATACAAATGTATCAGCTGGTCCTGTCATCACCACCTATTAGATAAGGAAGGCAGAGTCTATGGACTGCTGAAATTAATCTAATATAAGTTCCAATAAGTTATGAATCCAATATATATGGCTAGTAAATATGTGTAAAAAGTTAGAATCAAGCCCCTCCAAGGGTTAAAATCCACTGCAGCAGACAGATACTTTTTAAAGTTTATTGAATGATAAAAAATGCTACACACACATGTAGCTATTGATAAAAAAGGGGGTCCCAAACATGAGTTACAAAAAAGATAGCACCAGTACCAGGTTTAACAGACCTCGAGCCCAAAAGATCACTTTCTTGCCGGCCGGACAGAAGTGAATTGGATTTTCCTCGTGCTGTATGCTGCTGGTTTCTAGCCGCGTGCGTTCCACTGCGGCTCAGGATGCGTGTCAGAGGTGCTCACTCTCAGGACCGATGTGTATTGGTTTGCAGATGCCGCCTTACTAGTTTCGTGATTCTTGATCACTTCATCAGAGGATGGCATCATGGAGTCTGCAATCTTCTTTTTATACTTGTTCTGTCTGTCTTCATTAGTATCACGTTAACCCTTAAGTCTATGTACAATGTTGCAATTCATATCAGTATAAATAATATAAGAAGTTGACACATGATATATTGTTTGTTTTTAGCCACACATATATAATGGAAAACTAATAACCATAAAAAAAAAAAAGGGGAATTATACAAAGGCAATATAAAAGGGGACAATATAGAGAGGGGCAATATATAAAACAAGGAAAATATATAAAGGACAAACAACCAAATAACCAAATACTAAAGAAATTCTAACATATTATGTGGTATATTGGTTATTATAAATACATTATAAAATCTTATATTCCTTCACAAATACATCCCAAAAGCAGTGATCAATAGATTAAAAATTTCTTGCATAATAGAAATACTCTAAGGATGGGTTATGAATATATATAAATATAAAGTATAGCAATTCAAAAAATAAAAATTAATTTATCAAAAAGTTAAAAATTTATAAAAATTTGGAAAATTAAAAAAAAAAAAAAAAAAATTTATTAAAAAATTTAATTAATTTCATTGATTTATAAATCACCTGGAGAGAGAAGAGGAGAAAGATAAACACATTATTAATTGTAAAATTCATTTGTTATAGATACACACTGAAAAAAAAAAATTAAGTAATTAAAGAAAAGCATTTAGTTCAAAATCAATATTTAAACCAAAGGGCTCTAAACTATTAAGTTGAAATATCCATTTAGCCTCACTTTTGTCAAGAGCTTTTTCGTAGTCTCCTCCCCTCCAATGCAAGTTCACTTTTTCAATAGCATAAAATTCTAAACCTGCTGGATTATTGGAGTGGCAACTTGCAAAATGTCTGGAGAGATTATGTGTAGTAAGTCCCTTTTTAATGTTACGAATATGTTCTCCTAGTCTAATTTTAAACTTTCTTTTTGTCCGACCTATATAGTGTTTCTTACAGGGACATATTAGGAGGTAGATAACTCCAATGGTATTGCAACTTAGATCTGATTTTATTTCAAATTCTTCATCCCCTTTCATGTTTTCAAATTTCTTTGTTAGACCTGTTTGGGTTGGATTGTTTCTACAACCAGAGCATCTATTACATTTTCGAAATCCACCAGCTTTTTGATTATTGCTTGATAGTTTGATTTCTTTTATCGTTGGGGCTAATATGGTTTTGAGATTGGGCGCCTTTGAGTAGAAAATCTTTGGTCTATCATCTAATATCATACCCAGTGAACTATCTTCTTTAAGGATTCTCCAATGCTTATTCAGAATATGCTTTATTTTTCCTGCTTGATTGCTAAATTGTGTGATAAACGCTGGGGTTTCCGTCTCCATTTTCGATGTCTTATTCTTACTTATCAATGTTTCTTCCCTAGATAATTTCAGGGCTTTATCCATTGCGTTAGTCAACATGTTGTTATCATATCCTTTTTTGAGAAATTGGTTTTTCATCTCCTCCATTTGATTTATACAAATATCCAATTCTGTACAATTCCGTCTTATCCGTCTGAATTGTCCATAAGGTATGTTGTCCAGCCAAGTTTTCTTGTGATGGCTGTCTGAGGGAATAAAGCTATTACAAGCAACAGATTTTCTAAATGTTTTTGTACAGATCCTCTCCTCTTTGATGTAGATTTCTAGATCTAGAAATTCTACCGAAACTTTTGAATGATTAAAAGTGAACTTTAAATTATAAGGATTAAGATTGAGGTAGTTCTTGAATTCATTAAGGGAACATAGATCGCCTTTCCAAATAAAGATACAATCATCTATGTATCGCCGCCATAGGACCAGGTTTGCACTATGTGGGGTATTGCTCCAAATGAATTCTTCTTCCCACTTTCCCATAAATAAATTTGCATAACTTGGTGCAAACCTGGTACCCATGGCGGTACCCTCTGTCTGGAGATAAAATCGATGTTGTGCCCAAAAGGTATTGTGACTCAGAATAAATGCAATTGCTTGAACAAGAAAACTGATCTGATCATTCTTTAGCTCAGAGTATTTAGCGAAGGAGTGTTGTATAGCTTCACATCCTTGAAGATGTTCAATAATCGTATATAAAGATGTCACATCAGCCGTTACTAAAAAATTGCCTTGTTAGCCTGATGGCATGTGGCTAGCTGAGCTCCAGGCAGGTGGTGAGGGAGCGCTGATTTGTGAGCTCTCCCTGCTCAGCTCCCTCGCACACCGCTGAGTGATGCCGGAAGCCGGAATATGATGTCACATTCCAGCTCCTGCTTGCCTGGACCTCAGCTAGCCGTCTGCCTCTACGCCTGCCTTTCTGCCCAAACAGCCTGGCCAGCAGGCCTAATGGACCTTAGGTAAAAAAAAATAAAATAAAAAAATAATCTGTGAGTGTTGGGGGGGAGGGATGTTTGTGTGTGTGTGCTTGTCTGTCAGTGAGTCTGTGTGTGTGTATCTGTCAGTGTGTGTGTGTGTGCCAGTGAATGTGTGTATGTCTGTCAGTGTGTGTCTGTGAGTGAGTGTATGTCTGTCAGTGTGTGCCTGAGTGATTTGTGTGTCTGTCAATGTGTGTCTGTGAGTGAGTATGTTTGTCAGTGTGTGTCTGTGAGAGAGCCTGTGTGCCTGCGAGTGTGTGTCTGTGAGTGAGCGTGTCTGTGAGTGTGTGTGTATGTCTGTCAGTGTGTGACTGTGAGGGAGCCTGTGTGTCTGAGAGATTGTGTGTGTCTGTCAGTGTGTGTCTGTGAGTGAGTATGTGTATCTGTCAGTGAATGTGTGTGTGTGTGTTTCTGAGTGATTGTGTATGCTTGTCAGTGTGTGTGTGTCTTTGAGTGGGTGGGTGTGTGTCTGTCAGTGTAACATACTCTCTCTCACCTTGCGGTCTCTGCAACCAGCGGCTGTGCGTCTGCATGACTGACACTTGCAGCATGTTAATGTATGTCAGTGTATCTGAGAGTATGTGTCTGTCAGTCAAAGAGTGTGTTAGTCTTTGACAGGAAGAGGTGTGGCATTGACAGGAAGGGGTGTGGCAAATTTAAATTAGGGGGTGCCCGAGTTCTGCCATGCCTGATCCAAAATACACTGCACCCAGACCCTGTCACCTTAACTCATGCAATGGTTATTATTGCAGTTAGTTAATAAACTGCAATAATTACCTTGCAGTGATAACTCTACCAGACAGCCACTAGAGGCGCTTCTGGCTCATTTGGCGACTTTTGGTAGCCAAATTGATGCTGGACAACCTCACGTTATGCATGAAGACATCCAGCGTCAGTTGAAATCCTATAGGAAAGCATTGATTTAATGCTTTCCTACAGGGTTGTCCTAATGCGATTGTGGCGCTCGCCGTACATGCGCATTAGGTCCACAACGTCGGCCAATGTTGAGGGAGGATGAGCGAAGGCACTGGATTCGGTTAAGTGACAGAAGGGGTTTTAACCTTTTCTGCACTGCAGGGAGGCACAAGTGAGGGAGGCACTATAGGATACTATAGTGCTATGAATACACTTTTGTATTCCTAGCCTTTAGTTTTCCTTTAAGAATATTAGACTCGTCTGGAATCCAGCCAAGGCATTTCTGTTTAACCCAGGAGTTCTGATATGTTTCTGCCAATTAAGCAGCTAACAGAAACAAAGTCATTTCAGTTCCACTATTCCTTACCTGCCCCTAGTACCTTCTACCTTTATGGCATGCTTTTTCAGTTTGACATTACACTCAACTCTATCCTCACTCCCTTTACAAGTTACCAGTGGCTGCAATCATCCTTTTATTTTTTTCTGGCCATCACCTCCAAGGTCCCCCTTCTACCTCTTGTCTCAACTCTCCATTTTAACATTTAGATTGTAAGCTCACAGGCTATCCAGCAAGGTCATCTGCATATAAGAGATTCAATGGATAGATCACATCTTATAGGCAAGTGCTGCTTGCATTTTTTGTATTGGTCTGACAGTTTATATTGTAATGTTTTTGTCCCCAATTGTACATCGCGGTGGAATATGCAGCACTTTATAAATGGCATAATATTAATAGACTAAAAGGGGCACTCCTAAGCACCACAGATGGCCGGCACAGTGTGCAACTTTGTTAAAGAAACACTCCAATAGAATATATATATATATATTTTTTTATTTTTTATTTTTTTTTACAATGTAGTAGATATATCCCCCCCAAAAAACTTGCATTTTATTATTCTCATAGCTCCGATTTTGCAAGCCCTCTCCTTTTTCCCCAGCCCAGACTGTAAAATCAGAGACTTCCCAATGCAGCTCAATGAGAAGTCTTTGCAAGGCAGGTGCTCTGGGCAATTGCTGCCTCTTGAGTCTATCTCTACTGGGCTAACCAAACCCGGAAGTAACAAGACCGGCTGTCTGATTGACAGCCAAAAGGTGTAAAATGTTTAATGTATAAATGTGCCAATTTATATTGAAATATGCACTTTTTGCAAAAAATTAAGAAAGAAAAGAGGAAACACTCTTTACACATAAAACAAGCTAAAGTGATGTGTGTCCCTTTGAACAAACGACCTTTATTGAGAATTTATTTGACTTTTTCTTTCTTACTTTAAAAGCTTTTTTAAAATTTCGTAAGGAATGTGGAATATGTCTATTAAAAGGGATTTATGGATTCACAACTCAGTGATCATAGGATGTGAATGTTATTCTGTACAAATGGCTTTGCAGGAACAGAGACAGAATATGTGGTATATCCTCTACTATGTTAATAGCCTAATATAATGTATGTGTTACATGATTAACTTCTTTTCTGTACAATGTATAATGTATATAAAAGAGAATGTCACATAACTTGTTCTAACATTTTGGGGATTTTTAGGTATAATTTTTGTTGCTAATTCCTCTAATATGATTATTCGTCACTTTGTGTTTAAAATAAAATTTAGTTCAGGGAGTCCGATCATCATCCATGTGTTTATCGAATATTGGACATACAAAATATTTGGAAAACGATTTGGACAAACCAAAACAGTGTAAAAATATTATGAATATTAAATATTATGTACATATTTAGCAGTACACAAGGGCATTTCAGCTTCATTTGGATCACAGATCAAGTGAAAAAACAAACCAATAGTGGGAAAAAGAGGAGGTGTAGTAAAGAAAAAAAAAATCTATATGTACATAGTATATATTTATTAAATAACCCTTTTTTTCCCTCTTCACTTGATCTTTGAATCAATATTTTTTTTTTCCCCAAATGGCGTTTTGTAATGCATAAGTCTTGTACTGGTCACTTTGTATTACACTGTCGTTTTTCCCAATTGTACAGCTCTGTGGACTATGTATTTTGTTTACATATGTGGGTGTGTGTCTATTGCAATATATGTAAGTTTGACAATTCATAAAGCTAATTATTGTTTTTTTAGATCTGAACGGAAAAGTAATTATTTTATGCTGGCCAATATGGATTCAGATTATCTTATTGTGGCCTCAGAAAATCTGTTACTTGAACGCGGACGTACTTGTGATAATCTCCGTACTGAAGATTTAAAAGAACTTTTTCTGTTATATCTGAATCAATTACTATTAAAAGAAGTGACTGTTTTGCAATGTTGTAGGTCACTCAGAATCTGCAATTTGTCCAACAACTTCATCACAAATATAAATTCTTTACGAGCATGCTCGCATTTAATTAAACTGGATTTGAGTGGAAATCAGGTGAGCAATATTTTATTTTCAAATGTTTATGAGTTCATTTAATTTATTGTTTCATCATGCAAGGCTGGTTTGGGGATTAAATGGCCAATTCAACTGCCAAGGTCATTATGAGATTAGTGAAGCCTAGGTGGCAATTATGGATTTTGCATTTATTGGCAAGGTAATGCCCATTTTCTTTTCCTGAGCTTGAGTTACATGAGTTTCTTCATGATCCTCTGTTCTGTTCTCCATGCGGCAAAAATATCAATGGCAGAATATCTTTGAATTTTCGGTACCTAATCCTTGCTGGTGCAAGATGATGGGTTCAGTGAGAGCCAATTTAGGCTAGTGTTTACCTGTGTCTTGCGTGTGGAGTGTGGAGGTTTGAATGTACACTTGAAGCACCAGAGCAACATTTGTATATATTTATAGCCTTTTGTCTGAATTGACAAAAGAATTGCAAGAATTAGGCTTGCAATATACTGCATCTTAACTCTAAAATGCTTCTTGTTGTTTATTGTAAAAAAATATTTTTGGGAAGGCAGAATTTCGACCATATGGTGGTTTGGCCGACTCAGATTTAATTAATGAAAAAAGATTCAGAAAACAAATTAGATGAATCAATAGAGCACAAAAATTTGCCAGTAATTGTACTGCACTATATATATAGACACACACACGCACATACAGTTGCAATGACAATTATTTAACCCCTATTGAAATCCATGTCAAAATTTACAGACATTCAACTGTCTGCAGTGAACAAACCAAACAAAAGCAATTGAAATAGCTCAACACAATGAATGCTTCAAGTGGTTTAACAAAATTCAACTTAAAATGTAACTATTCTGTAGCCGTAGTGGGGGTATAGGGGCTTTAGTGGAGGGATGGCACCTGTAGTGGGGGCAAAGCTGTAATTCAGCTATGCAAAAAACTAATAAAGTATCTACAACTACCAGAAACCAACACTTTGTCCATAAAGCCCTGTTCTATAGGGATTAGTAGAATAGTCAAGACTTTGAAAAGAGACACATTAAAGTAATGGAAAATTGGATTTTCTCCAGGGATTTGACCTGGGAATTTATTGATAATACAATACCTTATTGTTTCGGAGTGCATGTTTTGGCATCTTTAATTCAATATCTTATAGCGTATTAAAAAAAAAAAATGGTCCTTTCCATCCTGAAGTGACCCTTTAAAATTGCAGTATTTGGAGGAGGTAGACATTTTCCAAGTTTTCTCTTGTTCTGTTTGTTGAAAGTGGGGTAGTTGGTCAAAGGGATTAGGATTAGCTAGCTGCCTTGCACAAATCCCAAGTATGATAATTATTACTTTTATGAGACTTATGATTCTAATAACAATCATTTGTTAATTTATAAAATTGTTCATTGGAGTTCAATTGAGTATATTGGGAATTCAGAGATAGGGTAAAACTAACACAAATTAAACATACACATATCTAAATGGATTTAACAAAATACTATCAACAAAATAACAAAATGCTATCTATATTGAACATGGTAAACTAGAAAAAAAAGATGACATAAGCTGATGTTGGGCAGAGGGGTATTTAGTGATAACATTAGGAAATCTTTCAATAAAGAAATAATAGTAAATATTTGTTATAGAATTCCAGTTGTGGACCCCCTTTCTAGGTCAAAAAAAAGCAGAAAGTAGAAAAATACTTAATGACACCACTTTCTGTATTTGGGTTTGAGAGGCCACTGTCCATTGGTGGAACATGTACAGGCACATAAGGGCTCGAGATACTCTTTGCTGTGGTCCATACTAAAGGTCAGTAGTGGGAAGGTCATCTTGAAGACAAGGTGTGATGGAACTCATGTGATTCAAGTTGGAACAGGATGCTGGATAGTAATCAGGAATGCAGCAAAATTGAAAGAAAAAAAAACACCTTGATAGCAACAGGAGTGCTATCAAGATTAGAGTGTTAGAGTGCCATAGATTTTCAAAAACATGAGGAGGTCCAAAAAATATATTGAAACCAAGAACCTATCACTGAACTTTCTTAGTTTCACGTGATTACAGGTTACAATTAATCTGGCCTGACAAAAAAATGTCGAGATAAAAATTTTATTACTGCATTGCATTATAACTGCATTCAGAGGCAGTTAAATAAATTAGATTGTCTTCATACTCTACAGTCACGTTCACATGCAGATTTATTTTTTGGAAACATAAGAGACACAAGAGTAATTATCTTTTGAAACTTATTTGGAATGTTTCTGTTAAAACAAGGCAGAAGGCTTAGCATCATGGGACATGTGAACCAATTTATTCTCTAATTTCAAGGATAACCATCGCTGACACGATCACTACTGTAGTGACTATGATGGACAGAAAGTAGTGTTCTAATATGTGTTTAATGTAGCACAGCAGTTTATGTTCACAATTTAAATTCTTTTATTTTGTGTTGTAGTAGGATAGAGGAACATGATAACTTTAATTCCAAACCACTTCAGTGATTTAAAGTATTCATGGTGCCTGGAGTCTGTATGTGCTATGTTTCATTGTGAAATGTATATTCACCTACAACCATCTCATCGGGGCATCATTAGCCAGCTCGTAACAAGAGTTCCATACTGTCTAACGTGAATTCTGTTCAAATTTGGAATCTAACATTAGTATGCACAGCATACTACCCCCAAGAAAACATTAATGTATGTATATATATATATATATATGTTTGTAGTCGGTTAATAAAGAGACCGTGATATGCCTTGTGATTGGAGAAAGTCGGTGTGGTGTGCCGAAACCGATGTAGGGGTAGGCCTGTAATAAAGAGGGCCCCCTGGAGGAATTGTTTAGGTAGGAAGAGGGTGAGGTGGGTTGGGTGAACAGAACGCCACAGCAGAGGTAAGAAGGGGAAGTAGCGTTTTATAGGAATGCTAACTCCTCCCACAAATACAGGCCTGTATATATATATATATACAAAACATTATCTTGGAATGGCTTCTGATCTATCCTTTCCTCTTTCCTCTGCACAGTCTTATAGTCTGTGTCAGCAAATTGATGAATAAGAGGCTTCTCATTCACACATCTCAATAAACCAAATCTCACTGAGAAGTTAGCAGGATGAAGGCAGACGCCCTCTAGTGGAAGTGGAAGAAAGCTTCCGACAATGTGTCTGACAGCTGGAGAGGTTTTTTCAGCAGTAATGTATTACAGCGCCATTTTATTTAAAATCTCCACTTCTATAAACTGAAAATGAATAAGGCACACTCTTCTCACATAATAAGCAAGCTTTATGTGTTTGTGGTGTTCATTTTAAGAAGAATCCCAAGGGAAATATTTGCAGTAGAGTCTGAGTGCTGGATCCGATTGGAAATAATTCTTCTGGGCTGTCGCAATATAGAAGAAATAAAAAGTCAGCAGAGTTTTCAATTCACTTATTTTCAGCCTAAAATGTTAAATTCACACTTTAGAAAATAACACTGACAGGGAGCCACACGGCACTTTGCTGGAATTAATAACTCTTTGTATCTTTATAAAGCGTGATATTTGTGGTTTTTTTTCTTCTAAAAATACAACAGTCAAAAAATAGGTTAATTTAGAAAGTAGGAGTTATTATTATTATTATTATTATTTTATTATTTATATAGTGCCATCACATTCTGTAGCGCTGTACATTGGGTGGACTAACAGACATGTAATTTTAACCAGACAATTGGACGTACAGGAACAGAGAGGTGGAGGGCCCTGCTCAATGAGCTTACAGTCTAGAGGGAGTGTGGTATAGTGACACAAAGGGTAAAAGTAGGGGTACGAAGTAGGTTGTTAGAAAAGTATTAATTGAGGGCTTAGTAGGTAATACAAATCCATTGAAACAAATCCATTCTACCATCCCCACACCCATGTTCCAAATCACTAATATGATACCTAAATGAACTCCATAGAATAAAACAACCCCCGGAAACGATTATCTCTAAAGAGTTCAATTATGAAAACAAGTAAAAGTAAGAAACCCTAAAGCAAGTTATACCACCCTTAACCTTCCTCCTAAAACGAAGGTTTGTTTTACAATTGCTTGTTCTGATAATGCGACAATGTTTGTTTCAGATACAAAAGCTACCAGATCGTGCATTTTGGAGTGAATTAAAGGAATTAAAACTGATGTACCTCCATGACAACCAGATTGGAGATGTGAGCAACATCGAATCTTTGTCTTCTTGTCCAAATCTCGCAGCCCTGACCCTGTACGATACACCATTAAGCCTTCGCAAAAGTTACAGGCATATTGTTGTAAACAGTATCTGGTCGCTGAAAGCTCTTGATAATTATGTTGTTTCTGATGAAGAAATAATCGAAGATTGGTCCCTTCAGGACAGATTTAGAAGTCAAAACCCTCAATTGTGCATTAATATGTTACCTGCCCCATGTACGGTAAGATATGGACCTTATCATTTATTGACATGCGTTTGTTGGATTTATACTGTATTACCAGAATGACCTTCAACTAAATAGATTAAAGGTCACATTTATTTGTTTGGGGTGTGTGCACATCTCCAGGCTAGTACAGCGATTGCGTACACTTCCATATTATTTTATCTACACATTAGCAAATAATATGGATGTATTTATGTTTATAAAGTCAATAAGGGTCCCTAGCAGCATGTGGGATGAGGCCCCCCTCCTAAACCCCATTGCATATTTCTGAGTGTTGTATAAGTGTGGGGGGAGAGAGAATGAGTGTTGTGTATATGTGAGAGTATGGGTAATAGCTGAATGTTGTGTGTGGAGGAGGCTATACGGGGGAGTCTCAATGTGCCTGTGTTTGCAGGGTGAGTGTTGTTGTGGTGACTAAAACTTGTGGAGAAGTCTGAGTTTTGTGTGTGAGTGGAGTTTGAGTGTGGCTAAGTGATATGTGTGAGGGAGTTGCTGTATGTGTGGTATCTAAGAGTTGGGGTAGATTTTCTTCATTTGCTCCACTTTTGATTACCTTTTGGCAGGAGGAGAGTGTTACCCCTGGTATTTTAGTGGAGGCCATTAGGATCCCTGGTTATCTGGTTGGGGGACATTGTGCTGCAGATCACTTTAAGAGCTCTCTCATGGTCCCAGCACTCAGTCGATGATTCAGAACTTTGGCTGCAGCACTCTGAGTCATTAAGAAGTAGCAAGGGACCAGGCCCCATCTGGCCACCTTTATGCCTTATGGGTAAATCAGCTCTATATAAAGTACTATCATTTCATTTTTTTTTACCAACAGAGGCACTTTTAAAAGACAATAGAATAATGGGCAACTTTCTACATTAAGCTGTTATCTAAAAAAATGTCCTTTTTTTGTGGGAACTGGTCATTGGTTAATAGAGCTTCCATTTTATGTTCATAATCATTTCTACATGTTTACTATATGTGTATGTATTTGCAACTGTGTAACAAAATCCTATGAAACTTCACTGAGTACGTTTCCATGCAATGGTGGGCTTGTTTCCATGCTTATCGTTAAAAGGTAACCTTTAAACATTAACACCAATAGCGGATGTTGCTGCTAAAATCTATTGACAGGTTTCTATGGTCCATCGCTGTGTTAGGGGCATGCACGCTTCTTATATTTCCCTCCACAATAACCTCTCAGCACTCATTTCAAGATTTTGCAAGATGGATATGCTTAGAGAAAACTACACATTTTCCAACATATAGCCACAACAACTTCACCAGGATGCTGCAAACTGGTATCTCAACACACGCAGGTTTCACCTCTGTTCATACATGCAAGTTGTAAATACCCGATTTGCAAAATGTTCACAAGATTAAATGTTAATCACATACACTATGGATATAGATAGGCTATAGTGCTTAAATGTGCCTAAAAATATAATACATTTTCTTTTTAACTTGGATTCATGGATATAAATTAAAGGACCACTCTAGGCACCCAGACCACTTCAGCTTAATGAAGTGGTCTGGGTGCCAGGTCCAGCTAGGGTTAACCCATTTTTTCATAAACATAGCAGTTTCAGAGAAACTGCTATGTTTTATTGGGTTAAGCCTTCCCCCTAATCCTCTAGTGGCTGTCTCATTGACAGCCACTAGAGGCGCTTGCGTGCTTCTCACTGTGATTTTCACAGTGAGAGCACGCCAGCGTCCATAGGAAAGCATTGTAAATGCTTTCCTATGCAGCTGAATCTTGTGCGCGCAGCTTCTTGCCGCGTCGTCAGCCAGCAGGCGGATCAGGAGGAGGAGAGAAGGAGGAGAGCTCCCCGCCCAGCGCTGGAAAAAGGTAAGTTTTAACCCCTTTCCCCCTTCCAGAGCCGGGCGGGAGGGGGTCCCTGAGGGTGGGGGCACCCTCAGGGCACTATAGTGCCAGGAAAACGAGTATGTTTTCCTGGCACTATAGTGGTCTTTTAAAAAAAAAAAAATATATATATTTTAATTTTGGACTGTGTAACAATAATATTAACCACAACTCTTAAACTAGCAGTTATATACCAGTCACATACCTCACATTGTGTCTGTAAATAAGTTATTTGAGATGTTTTTATATAAGATTAAATTTACGTTGCCATAGGTATAGTTAGGCACCTGTGTTATTAGCATATTATTCTCAACTTAGCTTAATAAATATTTTTCTGTGTTCAGCTTATGCAGGTCAGTGTCTCAGAAGGAAAATGTTATCTCTGTTAAAATGCGTTTGATCTTATTTTGGTGCAGGATATTTGTCTCCAGAGTGAAATGAAAGATGTTAGAGACCTTTTCACAAAGATCAATCACGTGCTTGCGCATTGCTCCCCAGTCCTGATCATCCAGAGATGGATAAGAGGGTTTTTAACGCGGAAAAGATTGGGGTACGCTTTATATTTTTTTGTTGATTTATGTTTATTTAAAGCCATATGGATAGCACGGTGAAGAGAACATCGTGAAATTGCAGATGCTGGTTTATGCTCATATAAAGTATTTTGGCTCCAGTGTATCATGAATGCACTACACTATAACAATTACTGGAGCCTGTAAAGGGCCCTTACATCCCAAAGCCATATTCTGATGGGTAAAATAAACTCTAAAGTAGAAAAATCTAGAGGGCATCGCGATGCCTAAAATGTTTCCTCTCAATTGCATATCATGCACTCTCCAATAACCGACTGCAACAATGTAAAATCTGTAAGACTAGAACTTACTGAGATTCTTTCGGCAGTTCAGTCTGTTGCTATCTGTTAAGCAAAAAGATTTAGGAGTAGAATAAAGAAGATAAATGGTAAATATCAGTATAACCCCTTAAGGACACATGCCATGTGTGACATGTCATGATTCCCTTTTATTCCAGAAGCTTGGTCCTTAAGGGGTTAAAGCTATTTATGGCTACAGACTTAGTATTCACATTAAAATAAACAAAAATATATTTTACACTACATAATGTTAATAATTTACGTATAAAATATACCTTGGGGTGAGAATGGAATGAATGGGTGGATGATGGGAGCGAAATGCATTGGGAATTAGTTATAAAGATAAATTATGGGGCAAAGTTCTAAAAATAGAGCAATTAGCAGAAACATACAACTGATTTCCATTGTGAGTGCCCAATTTTAGTATTTTACCCAGGAATCGCTCATTAAACATGACACCATTCTGTCCAGTGAAATTTGCACCAAATTTGAGGTTCTCTTGAAATTGCCCTTATCTACTTGGCTGGGGTAATGTGTGTAATGCTAAATAATATAGCTACTTTTTAAAAGGTTTTTTTTTTTTTTTTCATGCTGTGAACTCCTAGCCACAAGTACTACAGGTAGTATATTAAATTGACACTATAAGCATGTCAGGGTTATGCTACCCAACTTACAAGTATAAGTCAGGAATAAATAGACAGAAATAATTATTACCAGAATGGCCAGGTTTAAAGTAGGGATGTGCATGGGCAAAAAAAACTGGTTCGGCACTTTCGAAATTCTGGACTTCGGCAATTTGGCACTTCCAAAATTCGGGAATTTGGGAATTCGAGACTTTGGCAATTCCCTATCCTTACCCCTAACCCTACCCCTAACCCTACCCCTAACCCTACCCCTAACCCTACCCCAAAACCCTACTCCTAACCCTACCTCTACCCTTTACCCTTACCCCTAACCCTACCTCTATCCTTAACCCTACCCCTACCTCTACCCCTACCATAGGGGTAAGGTTAGGGGTAGAGGTAGGGTTAGGGTTAAGAATAGAGGTTGGGGTAATGTTAGGGGTAGGGGAAGGGTTAGGGGTAAGGATAGGGGTAGGGTTAGGGGTAAGGGTAGGGTTAGTGGTAGGGTTAGGGGTAGGGTTAGGGGTAGAGGAAGGTTGGGGTAAGGTTTAGGGTTAGGGCTAGGGTTAGATTCCTGTCATCATTCCCTTAATTTTACCTCCCTCTTCTGTTTTGCCACCTTTCAGAAATCCAAGGCACTTCGGCGCTTCCAAAATTCGACCCTTCGGCAATTCATTTCAGTTCGGAACTTCGGCAATTCGGGACTTCGGCAATTTGGTTTGGCACTTCGGAAATTCGGCACTTCAGCAATTCGGACATTTAAAAGTATCCGAATATCCAAACTGCCGAAATTCGTTTGAATTTAAATTTGGACCAAAACTAATTGCACATGTCTAGTTTAAAGTAAAAATGAGAGAAAGCATAAACAAAAAACAAGCCAAGATCAGGGTACAAAGAATATGGAAATATAATATAACTAGCCAATCAGGAATACAGAAGTCAGAAGAGTCCGTATAACAAGCCAAAACTGAAGAACCAGGAAATCAGGGAACAATATAACCCACTATATGGGGAACCAAGAGGAAACCACAATAGGGCAATTACAAATGGGGCAAACACTTTATTTAACCCCTTAAGGACACATGACATGTGTGACATGTCATGATTCCATTTTATTCCAGAAGTTTGGTCCTTAAGGGGTTAAACCCTATGGTGGACACTGATTGGTCCTCATCAGGCGCGGGAACCCAAAAGGTGTCATAATAGGGACTCTGTGATGTAATTATCGGAAATTACACTATGTAAACATGCAGTGTCCCTCTCTATATCACAATGCTAAATAGCATTCGCCTCCCGATTCGGGAAGTTCTAATGCAAGCATCGATTGGGAGGGCTGAAGGACGTCAGGATGGGGTACTTCCCGAGCGATGCTCACAACACACTCATCCAGTCTAGGGCAGCGCAATAAGTATTGCAACAAGGCACCAAAATAACTTTAACTTAATAAAGCAGTTTTGGTGTATAGATCATGCTCCTGCAGTCTCACTGCTCATTTCTCTGCCATTTAGTAGTTAAATCACCTTGTTTATACAGCCCTAGCCACGCCTCCCTGCATGTGACTTACACAGCCTTCCTAAACACTTCCTGAAACATAACCTGATATTCTAGGTTCCTTTATTGCACAGCCTGTTTAATCAAGAATGTCTTATCGACTGTTTTGTTAACAGCCTCCTAGAGCCTGCAGGGGCCTTTGTGGATAAAATTAAATTTACAGAGCAGGAGTTATAAAATTGACATGGTAATCTGGTCCCACTGGCAGGCTAGGGGATTTTCTATTGAAGTTGTTCCATGTGTATTCTTTTGCTACATTTACACAGGATCAATTTGCCTTTACTGTGTACGATTTAATCATAAATAACCTGAAACATACAGATCTTGCTGTATAAGTGAGTATCTATGTATTTGTTATATTTAACAGTTCTTATAAAGCACTTTTCAAAATGTAGCAATTCATCTTATGTAGGGTAACAGTCAAATTAATATAGAAATGTGGAGTGCTATCCAAGACTGTGCATGAGCTTGCAATCTAAAGAGAGGGTGTGCATTAAGAATAAAAATATGGTAAGAAAATAGTTAATTACTAAGAATGCGAAGGCCGTCATAGAAAAAAAACATTTTCAGGTGGGCACAGCTGAGAAGATGGTGAGATGGTTAGCAGCTAATTTCCAGAGGATTTACACAGATGGCAATTATTGTATTTAAATTAAAGCGAAGCAAGTGTGGGTGGGAAAATGTACTTAGTAAACATTATCTTTGTGGGGGGCAGCAGATTTGGGGTGCCCCTGAGGAGAGAGAGAAATACAGTCTGCTTGCAATCTGTTAGCTTGCACTTAAAACTCATGTTTTTAACAGTGTAGGAATTGGGACATGTAAAAAACTTTGAGGGGGGATAATTTGTAATCATTTTAGTCATTTAATTTAATTTACTTAAAAAAATCAGCATGTTATTAGCAAATGCAAACTATACGGTAAATGCTAGATTACAGTTAACTGCGAAAGTAAGCAATACACATAATAATAATAATCTAACAAACTGAAATGATTCTCGTTGGTACATTTGCACGGTCTTTATATGCAGTTAAATATTTTTAGTTAAGGTCAACAGAGTAGGGTTACATCGCATTAGCTTATTATACCCACAAATATTGAAAATATTAAATGTCCTCGTGTTTTGAGACTTGCTAAGTGAGCTGATCTCTTTGAATAAATATTTACAATTTCTACTTCTGGAATAAAGAAATGCTGCATATAGAGACTGAAGTGGTTATGGTGCTTGGAGTAACCCTATAACCACTTTACAACATTAGGACGAGTTAAATCCCTGCTCACACTAGGGAACGCTAGGTATCAATTAATACCTGGTGACCCGCTTTGCCACTGGGGTTATTTTTAGAGTATGCAGCGGGTAAAGTGACTGCTGCATACAGACCTTTAAAGGGGCATTAAAATCCCAATTGACAGCAATGTGGTGTGAGCAGGGTGGTGTCCCTGCTACCACCAGAAGACTAGGTATCTACAGATACCTGGGTCACCTCTCTGTCAGCTGGGGCCCCAAACTGACAAATGCTCTGTATGCAGCATGGCTAATGCTCTGTTTTTCGGTTTTATGCTGTTTTAGGGTTAGGGATAGCGTAGGATTAAGATTAAGATTACGGTTAGGGCAGGTGTATGGTTAGAACTGGTGTAATCATAGAATTAGGGGAATTAGGGGAATTGCTGGTATAGCATTGGGGAACTAGGTATATGGTTGGTGTTACCTCTATAGAAATCATTTAACTCCTAGATATATGTAACAATCAGGATTGATTTAAAATTCTATATCTGGGTTCAAGCCCTGCGTAGACTGGTACTACCCACACTGACACTGTCCCATTGAGAGCAGTGCTCCTCTTTTGTTGAGTGCCCGCTCTCAGTGAGACATCACACTTTATTAATCAGGATTGATACATTAATCTATGTCAAGCTCTTTCTATTTAGTTACAATAGATGTGTAAAAATTACTATAAACAAAAATGTGAAAACAATATATATATGTACTTAACAAGTAACGCCAAGCCTCCATAGCAAGCCAGTAACCTATCTCATACTGATGAATTGAAATAACAACAAAACAGCTGTCCATGAGTGGTATACTGGCTTTGCTCCTCTTCCTGAGTTGTGTTTCAAAGCTGTTGTATACAACAGACACATGCTCCAGGGAATCCATGCATAAAGTGGAATTGAGGCAAATATGTGGATCTTTGTTGAGCTCATTTGCATATGCCTACCTAGAATCCCTTGCAGTAGTGAGAGCACTGTTAAAGTGAGATTTGTGGTAAAAGCAAGTCTTATGGCTTGACTGGTGTGTGTATTATTACAATAAGAAAGCCCTTTCTGTCATTTAAAAGCCAATGTAGTATATAAATGGGTGCACTTAAGGATAAAACCTTAATTATGGTTTAGCAAACACATTCTAGGTTTTGTTTTGGTTCAGAACTCGGACAATTGCCTCCATCCTTAAGGGGTTAACCATGGAATCCAGGGACTTCTGCTATTTGCTGAAGTTAGTGCTTAATAACACAAGTAGGGTCCTCATTAAACAAGGGAAGATGATATTCAATGTATTCATTTTATGTTAGTAAATATGAACTGAATTATCATGATAAAGTTATGTTACACTCTAAGACAATATAGCTGGATTGGATACATTCGTCAGCAGAGACATTCACAAAATTCTCATTCAAAATGAAGTAAAATCCAGGCTAGAATTGCCAATCTGTGACTATTTCAGTTTGAGAATTTGTCAATAGCAGCTATTTACTCCTCAATTCCACAATTCACATTTTTCTTTGCTGCAATTCACAGCTTTGTCATAAACCCCAAGTTAGCTATTTAAACCTCAAATGTTAAATTCCTGTTGAATTCCCTTTGAATTGTTGACGTTTCATGCGTTAGTGAAAAAACATGAAATTGTGCAGTTTGGCTTTAAATTTGGAGCTTAGTAACAGTGACAACATCATTAAATCTACTAATGTCTGAGTGATAAACGTGAACTAAACAGTGATTTTTAATTTATATGCTAAAGTACCTTTCTTTTAGCAGGAGATTAAAATATAAAGCAGGATGTTACAAAATAAATCCCACCGTATTCTCTCAGCAGAATGTTAAAATAAAAATATATTAATTATGGATTTGTTCTGGAACGTATTGTCTGCCTCTATGCAGCAACCAGCATATGTTGCTGTGTCACTCTAGCTCTCAAACTGACGGGTGCCGAGGTTCCCTTTGAGAAAAGCCAGTGTTTGTGGAAGGGTTGTTTGCCGAAATGATGCTTGGTGACAGGAAACAGCTGAGCGATAGCTCGGAGCTAAAGAGAACTCTGAGAGTCGAGAAAAAGTGATGGGAACATTAAAAAGAAAAATGAAGTATCCATATACAAAATAAAAATAAGATACAGAAAATCCAATCTTGAATACGGATTCGGAGCGGTGGAAGCTTCCATTATTAATGTATAGGGTCACACTGAGACTATTTATCTACCATATATTACCTAAGGCTTAGAATATTTGCACAATACACTAAAAGTAATGTGTTGTGTACATTTCTGCAGAATTATTTCTCCCGTGAAAATACAGAAGAAAAAAATACATATTCTGCATAGCCCGAGAAAGGAAGACGATATTGATGGAATTCATGTTACAAAGATATTGATACGGGATCTTTCTGCATTACCATTCAGCAGCGACAGCAAAACTCTCCCTGTGATTAAGCAGGTATGTTCGCCAAAGGCTCATAAATCCTTTATTGCTGACTTGGCTAAAGTAATTCACCTAATACATATTATTTTTTTTACAGTCAAATATCTTTTTAACAGATACTTTGCACAAATAAAAAAAATGCAAAATGTGTAGAAGGTCCAGGTAAATAGCAGCCAAAAATAGCTTTGCTCGTGCTTCAAGCTTAATTGCCGAAGATGAAAGTTAATTGTGAGTTGTCATGGCTACCTGGACCACACTTATCATAAAATCACTGCAGGTTTAAGTATTAAGTATTAAGGAACACTCCAGAAACAAGTCTGGAGACTTTTTTTTTAAATAGAAAATATTCCAGGCACTCCAATGAATTCCAAAGCAAAGGCGATTTTATTAGAACCAGGAACCAAAAGGCAACGTTTCGACCCCTTAGGGCCTTTGTCAAGATAATGATGATATTCCAACAATTAAAAAAATCAAAGAATTAAAAAATCAAATAATAAAGTTAAATATATATTCAATTGTTCTTTTTTGTTGAAGTTGATAGTCTAAAGATTAATCTATTATATGGCAAATATCATTCATTAAGAGACCATATGTTAAATCAGTTCATTAGAGTAATTATTCTTATTTTATTAGATTGTTATAAATGGAGTCACTATGTATACCATGTACACATATTTTGTTTTTTGAATATACATAGTGACCTTTTATTATTCACATAATGCATGGCCACAGTTCTCTAATGTGTAACACACATTATGGGACAATATTATGATAACATTATATTCTAGATCTATAACATTAAAATATAAAATATAATTATTCAATACACTAATTCTTTATAATGATTTGTTTTAAAGGACCGCTCTAGGCACCCAGACCACTTCAGCTTTATGAAGTGGTCTGGGTGCCAGGTCCCTCTAGGATTAACCCTTTTTTTAATAAACATAGCAGTTTCAGAGAAAGAGGCGTTTGCGTGCTTCTCACTGTGAAAATCACAGTGAGAAGACGCAAGCGTCCATAGGAAAGCATTATGAATGCCTTCCTATGAGACTGGCTGAATGCGCGCGCAGCTCTTGCCGCGCATGCGCATTCAGCCGAAGAGGAGGATCGGAGGCGGAGAGGAGAGCTCCCCGCCCAGCGCTGGAAAAAAGGTAAGTTTAACCCCTTTCCTTGCCATCCAGCCCGGCGGGAGTAGGACCCTGAGGGTGGGGGCACCCTCAGGGCACTATAGTGCAAGGAAAACGAGTATGTTTTCCTGGCACTATAGTGGTCCTTTAATTTATTTATTTTTCACTGCATGTTTGTATATAATACGTTATTCACTGTATGATTTTCACTTAATTATGTAAAGAATATAAACAAGATAATGAACATATGGAAATATGTTAATGAGGTAATTTATGAATTGATAGAGTTATGCCACTACATATTAACAATAAGTTTACTATTTGTAACTATTCATGATGAACTTTGTACTTTATAAGTTATCCACTATTGGGGTTGTCATGTTAAAGCAGGATTTAAAGCAGCCTGTTTGTAATTTGTTTAATAACAACATTAGTGTCAATTATATTGACATTGAGTATGTCACATCAAAACAGGATTTAAATTAGCCTCTTTGTAATTTATTTATTAACAAACATTAGTATTATACATCTAATAGTACTTCATAATTTGTATCTCTTTACGAGACACTGGGTAAATATTAACTTAAAATCTTTTTGGTTTAGCCTATGTATTTATTGCGGTTGCGCTGTGTTGCACATGCGCATTATATATGTGTCTCTGTCTTTTTCTTTTTTTTTGAGGTGTGCCATATTGCGCATGCGCGATATGGTGCGTGCGCAGTATGTTTTTATCTTGTTGCGCATGCATGTCATTGCGCTATGGTGATTCGGCTGAGCCCGATCATGTGACCGACGATGGGAGTTGCATCTGATACGTTAGATATGATTGAACCTACATGATTATACCCGGAAATGTAAGTACCTAGCTTTGCTTTGGTGCTTCCAATTGTGGTTAAATTGCCTTATTTTATTAGAGGTTATTTGGTACAACTTGTTTATAATTAAATAATTAAATCAAATAATTATTGAATTGAGGTTTTATTGGCCGAGTTATCCTGTGTTTTCTGAACCCTCTAATATGTGAGATGATGACTGGAGAGACAATTATGTTTTGTTAATATTTTTATTATTATTGATTGATAATGTTATAAATTAATAATTATATCACATGTAACTTGACAAAGCCCCTAAGGGGTCGAAACGTTGCCTTTTGGTTCCTGCTTCTAATAAAATTGCCTTTGCTTTGGAATTCGTTAGAGTGCCTGGATTATTTTCTTTATTCAAAATTCCATGTTTTGTCCTTCCTGGTACTGGGACTTATCCATTAGAGCACCGTGAATTCCATGACGAAGGGTTGAGTGCACTTCCACTATCTACATATGGCTATACAAGTCTGGAGACTGTCATAGTTGTGACAGTTCAAAAAAGTGCCAATTTCAGTAGATGTGAACATTTTTATAATTGAGGGCAGATGGCAGATACACCTCCCTGGCTGTCACTCAGAGAACCAGGGAGGTTTTCTTCCAATCTTGTGAGCTCCACAGAGCTACCGCGTTTCTGACTTCACCCCCTTCGACAAAAAAATAATTATTATCCGTAACACGCCTCTGTCTGTAACACAACTCTGATTGGTGTGCTCCCTGGATTGGGATAGAAGAGAGGGTTGCAAAGGCTGCAGAAAGCAGGTCAGCAGCTTCTTCAAGCTGTTTTTTTCATACTCCCCCAAATAAAAAAATGAGAAAAATTTGATTTTTCGGAGGATATATCTACTAAAGTATATTAAAAAAAAAAAAAAACATTTTTAGTGGAGTGTTCCTTTATTCTATTTTTTTTTTGTAATGAGCAAAGACCATTACTGTGTCTAAAGCAAATAAATTCTGATGTTGAAAAGGGCAGAGCTTAGCAATCAAGCTGTACAGACGCTACTCAGGGGAGCTCCTGCTCTTACTTATGGATTTGGCCAATTCCTTTACCCTGGCTGTGATACCTCAATGGCAACATGCTTAGTATCACTCCTCCATGAAAAAAGCCTAATGCCTTTTTTGTTCTGATGGGCAAACAGGCACACCGCTGATCTGGGGCCTACCTTGTCTTCCTGTCGGCCAGCAGTTATGTGAACAGCTTTCAGACTGTCTCTTGAGGACTTAATGTTCTCCCTGCCTGAAATTAGTTACCAGGCACCAATCACACACAATGGTGCGAAGATCCCAAAAGCAGCAAGCAAACACGTCTAAAGGTACACACAATGTTGGTACCATGTTCCAGTATCCTGTTGCTCCCATGATGGCCGCCCAGGTGGACCAGGAGAACTACTCCTTTAGTTCTGAGATCAACTCAGAGAACCCAACTGTAGTAATGCAAAATGCAGTGCTCATACCAATAGTACTAGCAGAAGTTGATACCCAAACACTGGCCGCAAAACAGGATATCCATAATTTACTACAGGATATTAAAAAGCGTTTTGCAGCCAATCTAGAGCTGTTCAAAGTTGATTGACTACTAGACTAGAGGCATCTGAGGAAATCAGTATCCACTTGGGCCAAGAGACATCCACTATCAGAGAATCAGTGCAATATGTCTAAACATCCTAACATCCCGATTTGCCAACTCAGTGAAGCGTGGGTGGAATACCGGTGGTCTACAATGAGGTTCTTGACTGTAACCAGGGATGGGTTTATTTTGCAATTATCATTTTCTTCGGAGGCCACAGCTTACCTCCAAGCAATGGGCCTCCCTACCAGACCTCAGGAATCATCTGTCTCCGTTAGTCCCTAACAGTGGGATCATAGGAAGGTAACTCTCTTTGTCTCAAGACGAGGAGAGGAATCGGCTCCAGTGACTTGAGCTACTGTCTGTTCTATCTTTTTATTATATGTTTATTATTTTTTGTTCTTGTCTCTTATTTCAGTAGATGATAACCAAGCTACTGTAGTATATATTATACTCTGATTATACATATATAAGACACTTTACTTTGTCTTGGGAGCATATTGGGGCCGAACTTCTTCTATCTCACCACCTCCATATTAGGGGTTGTTTATCCCTGTTGAACCACTCAATTATAGGCATAGGTATATCCCTAGACAAGTTAAGATTATATATATATATATATATATATACACACACCACTAACTTGCTAATGGCAATGGGGTTCACTGATCTATCAGTATTAGTCAAGCATTACTTACTCCTAATTTACTAGAACACTGCCCACTCAGTGCAATTCAGGATCGTTTTTTAATTTTGTTGATGTATTGGATCCACTTCTGATATTAATTTATTGATTTCTTTATTTTAAAAAGGGGTCTAAATACTATTTCTGTGACATTCAACATGGTTCCACCTTGCAATCACGTTATATGATATTATACGTACTATACCATTATATTGTTAAATGTGGCAAGTTTATGTCTGGATATGTCACTACCATGCTTACAGTGTCTGTTATATGTATTCTCAATAAAACATTTATTTACAAAAAAAAGTTGAAAAGACATATTTTGCTTTCATCTTTTAGGCATTGATTACACATATAGCTGTGATCGGAAAACAGTGTGTATATCACTGTATTAAGTTTATGTTCAGTAAACCATTAGAGGTAAAATATGTTTTTAAATAGTTATACATGACCATGTGTCTTAGCTGCATGGGTAGTGATGTCCCGAATGGTTCGCGAACGGACTCATCATTCCAGCCAATCAGCAGCAGACCCTCCCTCCCAGACCCTCCCACCTCCTGGACAGCTCACTAAGAATGTAGCTTCAAAATGGATGCTGTCCAGGAGGCAGGAGGGTCTGGGAGGGAGGGTCTGCTGCTGATTGGCTGGAATGATTAGTCCGTGGCGAACCGTTCGGCGAACCGTTCGGGACATCACTATGCATGGGACATTTAAGTATAAATATTCCCCAAAAGCATTATATATTTGAATGTATCTTTGCTAGATAAATAAATGCATATTATTTGAGAACCTATGTAAAAACCCTGATTTCTAATGTACATGTAACCCAAATTTTATCTGTGCTCATATTTGCCATAATAATCCTTGTTTCATATTTTTATTATAAATATTTAAACAGGGCATTGAATGTGTGAACGACTCCTCTGACACTGGAATAAAGCGTATCACTGTAGATTTAAGGAAATTGCAGAAGAATATTCTTCAGGTAAGATCCTACAATTAAACTGGAATAAAAAAAATAATGTTTCGGCTAAAGTAATTAATTGTTACATAGATATTTGAACAGTGAAAATGAATCTTTAGATGCCTTGTAAAATAAAATTTTTTTATTGTGTTTGTACAATGTTGTACATTGTTCTACCGCTGATATACATTGGAAGACTAGTAACTTGGTTTAGATTTCCAATCTTCTATTACAGTATTATCCACCTTTGACCTTCCAAACAATTTTACACAGCGGGGCTATCAAAAGGAGGCCTGTAAAATCCCTATATCAATGACAAATCGAAGAGCCAAAGGTCAACATTCAAATCCTCATTGCCTCAAGGGGTGGGATTGATCTAAACTGTTGAAAGTGAAAGTGATAAAAGCAAGTGTGAAACACAGGTGGCCCGTGGCCCCAGGGAGATAATTAATAACCCAGATCCACTTATGATTTGTTTTCCCACAATTCAACATTATATCACATGACCAATTAAATTAATTGCCATATTTTTTATGTCCTAGCTGCTTTGTCCTGTTTCTCCATTTTTGCTTATGTTGGCTCTGTGGTTGTAGGTTATATAGTTTGGAGTCAAATTTTTCAAAAGCAGAGGGTATGTGTTTCGGGTTAAAGAGTTCTGACCAGATCTAAAAGATATGAAATCTTGGATTTCAGTTCCTTTTGTTTTAATTGTTTAGAGTTGTCCTGAGTATAATATTTACACTTTTGTCACATGAGAATATAACCAGTTTGCTGTGCATAGTGCAGATTGAAAATATTTTGCAATCTATGAAAAGTAGCCAGGAAGCCGTGAGGAGTTCCTTTGTTGGGGATCTTAACTCCAGCAATGTCAAATACTCCAGCAGTAGCTGTTGATCATGTAACCAATTTGTCTTTAAGGCTGCAGTGTGTTTAAGGAACATTTCCTAAATTTAAGCGTGTTAACCAAAGCGTGTCAATGTGTACTTCCTCTGTATCATTCATTTGAAAACATTGTTGCAATTCCTTAAATATGTTCCTGAAGTCGTTGGTAACCTCTGGTGTAGATCAAAGTTGCTCAGTAAGACGTCACGTCTCTGACCCTCTATATGAGTATGCTTCCTTTGATTAAAAGACTATAGGGGTATGGTCGGACCATATAATAAGATCTATGCTTGGGGATAACAAAAAGAGATCTGGCCCTCGCTTGAACCATACAGATTCACTATCATATATAAGACAGTGGTTGAGAAAACAGTGATGGATCAAATATCTCCCACCCCTATCATCGATTTTCATAAGGAAACTAAAATCAATAGAGTTTATTAAAATGGAGACCCCTTTTTTCTTTTATTTGTTACAGGAGTGATACTCGATTGGGTTATATTTAGATGAAAAATTAGACTATTTACCCCAAGCGAAGTGAGTTTCCTGGAATAAGGTTATATCTGCTCACATCTTATTAGCCTCTTCCAAAGCTGAACGATGTGTGGGTTGTGTTAAGTTTATTGCAATTTAGGGATAAAAACTGAAGTCATTTTGATGTAAACTGAAATACTAGGTGAAAATGGTGCGACTCGTGTAGATAATAGGATAATGTGGTATCCTGGTGTGGCTCCCTCCCATTGATAGGGTATCTTCTTCCAATGTCCTCTCTAAGTGCATGCAAGGTCAAGTGACAGGCGCTTCCACTCACAGGCATATTATAAAGCAGGTCCAAGGGAAATACAAAAAAAAATCATAAAATTAAAAAGCAAAACTAACATATTTAAAAGTAATAAAATTACAAAATAAAATAACCTAGCAAAGATAAAAAGGATAGGGGGCACATCTGGAATGTGCATTCTGCAGGAGTGGTGCTGCCAATGTGACCAAAATTCATACATAACACAGCTTAATTTACAGCACACACATAAAAATACACTTATAAATCTTATTAGGCTACTTAAAATTGCTAATCTAAGTAACAAATATGAGGATACAGTTCCACCATTTGGCCATATTGTGTTAAGCCCACCACTAATTCACAGTACCCCAATATCAGTGGGTCCTACACTAATTCCAAACATGGGAAACAAATTAAATAGTACTAGTGTTAAATAAACTGAAGTGCATTCAATTAATCTATTGTACAATGCCACGAATCCTACCCAATTAGCGTCTGGCCACACCCCCTTTAAATACACACATTTTAAAGAAATCAGCCTCTTTAGGATGTTTGGAATGGGAAGTGTGTATTACCAGTATCTGCAGTTTTATGGATAATCATCATTACGTACCTCTCCACTATCCCGATTTTGTCAGGTCAGTTCTGATTTTTTTGGTCCTTTCTCACCATCCCGACTTACCGGTATCTGCATTTGGGTACACCAGGTTATCTGAAATTGGCAATTCTGTTGTGTTTATGGAGATTGTTGGAGGAAAAAGTTATAACAGTTATCTGTAAGGGAAATTGTTCCAGACTTGCATTTCCTGTTGTCTGCTGTGAGCTCCTTCAGTTCCTCAAGGAGCAATCTTCTCTTCTGTGTGGAGTGTACACATTTAACATGAATTTTTTTGTGATTATTGCATGTGTTTGGGATTATTAGCATCTGAAAGTCGGAACCCCATCGTGATCAAAATCCATGTCATCCTCCAACTTAGGAAAGCTAGCACAGTGGCATAGGAAAAAAGAAAAGGAAATGGAATTTAAAAAAAAAAAGGAACATAGTTAACAAAATTAAACTAGACTATTTACAAAAACTAGATACTGGGCTCCCCAAGTGCCAGGATAAATCAAGGGTGAACATCTCTCCAAGGTGAACATCTCTCCAAGGTGAACATCTCTCCAAGGTGAACATCTCTCCATGGTGAACATATCTCCATGGGATGAAATTACTCCAAACTCACCTGCAATCATAAGATCAATATAAAAACTCCCCCTTGACTGGAGCAAGTGGTTCCCCCTAGAAGACTGTGAGTATGAACTCTGTCTTGTTCTCTTCCATAGGAACCCCCTCTGCTTTGGTTAATTTGCTTGAACTTCCACTCCCCTAACCCCTACTGGTAAAATTCCCACATAGTGTATTTTAGTGTAACCACCCCATGAATGTACAAAACTCAAAAAGGATTTATATGATAGCAATGGTATCGGAAGATCAAATAAACAGTACAGAAATAGTGTGTCAATACAATGGCATGTAGTGACATATAACGGTAGCATAAATATTAACACATTTTATTTTTATTTTTTGTGTATTAAATGATGATTTTGAACGTCCCTAGATTTTTGAGGAGTGTTTCCCATGATGCACTTTGTTGTGAAAGGGGTGGGGCTTATAAATGGAACAGACTTTAAAGAGAGGCTAATGAGATGTTTAAAAGGAAGAGTAATTTACATACGTCCATTTTGGACACTGACAAGTCCCTTCACAAGAGAAAGTGACTCTTGGTTCCTTCCTGTTTTAGGCATTTTTTCTCTTATCCTTAGAAAAAACCTGTGCTCATTAGCACTAGAATATATTAAGAAAATGAGTAAAAACCATTTAAAAATTTCAAATTGAAAATATGCTAATAACCATTCAGTTTTTTTTAAATTTAACAATTGTACATTTCCATTTTTCTTCACTTGAGTAATCCCAGCTTTATGATTTATTTTGCAGACTTAGAAAAAAGTTATTATTGGTTAGAATTATACAAAGCATCACAAAAAAAACAAAAAAGAAAATTCTCCTACGATGATATCTGAATTTTCCTGCAAGCCAACTATATTTCCATCTTGCTATCCATTGCTTCAGATAAACTGAATGTGCATTATTTGCTACTTAAGCAGAGTACTCAGATTATCATTACCAGATCCCAATTCATTTCCAATACATTTCTAGCAGCTAATTCTTTGCAGCGCCAGGTCATTTATACAGCATTGAATAGATTAGGAACATGCAGAATCCATTATGGGATAGCTAGTTAAGCTTCCAGAATTTAAATATCCGTACTGTTTAGCAAAGCAGAGCATTTTTGCAATACATGAACAATAAAGCTACAATAAATTAGAAATTGTACGGTCCAATTTTACAGCGTAGGGAAACAAGATATGTGCATATGAAGCCTGATTCCTCACCTACTTTGTTATCCCAGGTGGATGAAAAGGTTAACTGATTGATCGCTAGAGAGGGATGGTTTAAATATCAACCCAGGCATGCAGGCTTTACCGTATGACTTATGTATGTTTACGGTCAAGTGGGTGTTTTTTACTTTGTTCTCATATAGCAAAACTAGCATCGGAATTTAACATTTAAAGAATCGGGGGGGATTTTGGTGTTATTTTCTTGGATCTTTGTCAGCTAAGAAAATGCTGGATGAGGATTTACTAAGCTGCGGGCTGCTTAGATAAAATAATCCTGCTCTCTGTTTTACTGAGCCGTCTTATAGACTGAATCCCATGTGAAATCAAAACAATCTCTAACCGGTAACTAATTTGTTCAAAGCAGTCAAAAAATAACTCCATATCGCCTTTATGAAGCAGACACACTCGAGAAGACCCCCAAGTAAAAAGCTTTTTATTCATTTGCACACACTTATTTTAAAAGCCCATCTTTAGTTGCAAATGAAAATTAATTTTAGAATAGGTTTGATAGAAGCCAATTGAATCAGCATTGCTTTCTTTACAAAAAAAAGGGCAGCTTAGAGGGTAAATCATAGCACTATACAAATATATAGAGGGTCAACACACACCACTAGGTACTAACCTGTTCATTAGCAGGAATATACAAAAGGTCACCCATTGAGAATGGAAGAAAGGAGTTTTTACTTACAGCAGACGGAAGGGTTCTTTACAGTAAGAATAATAAAAATGTAGAATTCTTTGCAAAAAAATTATCTTATCCGATTCTGTAGATTTTTTTTTTTTAAAGGCATGTACATATTTTTTTGAAAATAAGGATATTCAAGCATATAAATTAATCTATATGTGAACAGGGATTTTTTTTTATCCAATGACAAATCTTATTACTATTATGGAATAAAGAAGGATTTTTTTCTTTTTGTGGCACAATTTGCAATTGCTTAAAATAGGCTTTTTTTTGCCTTCTATTGCATCAATAGAAAAATAGAATAAAAAGATGTGTTTAAAGGTTGAACTCAATGGTCTTTTTTTCATCCTAGATTTTCAGGATTATTCACTAAAGTGAGAATTTAAAGTTAATTCAAAGAGAAGTTAAAATTTAAGGAGAGAGTAGCAAAGCTGGAAACATAGCTGATTTACAGGATTCTTCCAGTTTTGGCTGATTTGACCTTACATTTGAAATTCGCCTTGAATTCTCACTTTATTGAGTAACCCTGTTGTTGCTGTGGGGATTGCTGCACTTTTAGAATTTTGCCGTACTTGTTTGTTGGTGGCAATCATGATGTCACCATGGAATAAAGCATGTCAATAAAATATATTGCAGAGCATAACCGAACAAGTGTCATCGGCAGGGCCGGATTAACATAGGGGTTGATGGAGCTGCAGCTCCAGGCCCAGGCCCAGGCCCAGGCCTTTGGAATAGGCCCATTTGAAAAAAAATATATATATTTTTTTTTACTTTTTTTTTTTTTTTACACAGTACTCTTAGGTTTGCCGCCTGACTGGTATTTTACCAGCACAGCCAGTATTTGAGGCTGCCTGGCCGTTCCAGTAATGCAGTAATACCAGAAATGCAAATGCAGATATTTTTCTCAGTATAAATGGAGATTACTCTGCAATACCAGCACCAGCCAGCAGGGGTCACTGTGTGTGTGGAGAGAGGCAGGGATAGGAAGTTACAGACTTTTCCCTCCCTGCCTCTCTCTACTCACTGATCCGCTGGGGAGCAGCTACACAGCACAAAGAGTTCAGACAGCAGCTCCCAGCCTGCAGAGACAGACTACAGCTCAGAATACATGGGGATACTGAGAGACCAAGAGACACTGAGACACTAGGAGATGCTGTGAGACATAGGGACATTGGGAGACACATTGGGACATGGGGACAGTAGGGACACAGTGTCTCCATGTCTAACAGTGTCCCCATGTCTCCCAGCCAATGTCCCTAGTGTCTCAGTGTCACCATGGCTCCCATTGTCCCCTAGTCTCCCAGAGGCTGTGTCCCCATGTCTCTCAGTGTCCCTACAGTGTGTCCAAATATCTGTCTCCCAGTGTCCACATGTCTCCCAGTCAGTGTCCCTAGTGTCTCAGTGTCCCCATGTCTCCCAGTGTCCCAAAGTTTTTCAGTGTCCCAATGTCCCTAGTGTCTCAGTGTCCCCACGGCTCCCAGTGTCCCCTAGTCTCACAGTGTCTGTGTCCCCATGTCTCTCAGTGTTCCTAGTGTCTCAGTGTCCCCATGTCTCCCAGTGTCCCCAAATATCTGTCTACCAGTGTCCACATGTCTCCCAGCCAGTGTCCTTAGTTTCTCAGTGTCCCATGTCTCCCAGTGTCCCTAGTGTCTCAGTGTCCCCAATTTTTTCAGTGTCCCCATGTCTCCCAGTGTCCCCATGTCTATGCCCACAAGTTCCCCCATGCCTCAGTATCCCCAAGTGTCTCAGTGTCCCCATGCCTCCCATCCAGTGTCCCTAGTGTCTCAGTGTCCCTATGTCTCCCAGTGTCTGTGTCCCCATGTCTCTGTGTCGCTAGTGTATGTGTCCCCATGTCTCCCAGTGTCCCCATGTCTGTATCCACTAGTGCCCCATGTCTCCCAGTGTCCCCATGTCTCCCAGTGTCCCCAAGTGTCAGTGTACCCAAGTGTCAGTGTCCCCTGGTGTCTCACTGTGTCAACATGTCTTTGTGTCCCCTAGTATCCTAGTGACACGGGAAACCCTGGGAGACTAGGGGACTGGAAGACATGGGGACACTGACACTTTGATACATAGGGACACTGATGCCAGACTGGCCTTCCAATTCTTTGGACAGACATGGCCCCTTTTTGGGCATGTTGCCCCTTTTGGCAGTTCTGGTCACGTGATTTGTGTCAGTGGCCCATCCTTTTACCCACCCATTGACTTCCTGCTTCATTGGATGCTGCTGTTAGGGGGTATGGATTTACTTCAAAGTTGAAAGCATAAATTAGAGAGCGATTAGCATAGAGTATGTGTTTTTTCTTATAGCTGCATCCTTTGAGTTTCCTTCCAGCACCATCTCTATCAGATACATGGCGCTTGGGAGGTATGGTTGTTTTAGTGTTTTTGGGCGATAAGATTCTGTAATTAGGCCCATCATAATTGTCAGCACCAGGCCCACTGGGCTCTTAATCTGGCCCTGGTCATTGGTATTTAAAAAAAAATAATATTTCAAACTCTAAGTAATGGTAGTCAGAGGCAGTTTATAAAAGAGGGACAATAGAAAAGTTTATAAAGAAGTGGTGTGAGGGACAATAGAAAAGTTTTTTTCAGAAGATGAATATGATGGCCTGAAAATAATTGACATTTATCATAATTGTACTTTTTATTGATTACTTCATAAATATAAAAATAAACAAATAAAAACAGCTTGAGTGTCTCTTTAAAGGGACACTGTAGGCACCCAGACCACTTCAGCTCATTGAAGTGGTCTGCGTGCAAACTCCCATCACCCTTAACCCTGAGCATGTAATTATTGCAGTTTTTATAAATTGCAATAAGTACCTGCTAGGGTTAACTCCTCCTCTATGGGGTGTCTACCAGACAGCCACTAGAGGGACTTCTGGGCTTGAAGGTGACTTTTGGTTGTCTAAACGATGCTGGATGTCCTCACGCTATGTATGAGGACTTCCAGCATCACCTGTATCCCCATAGGATAGCATTCAATAATACTTTCCTATAGGGAAATCCTAATGCGAGGACGGCCATTGCCGCACATGTGCATTAGGTCTCCCACGCTGGTGGACGTCTGTGGGGGAGGAGCGTGGGTAGAGCTGAATCATCGGCTCTGGTACCAGGTAAATGACAGAAGGGGTTACTAACCCCTTCAGCACCATGGGGGGTGCCTTGACAGAGAAGGAAGCTACAGTACCAGGAAAACTATTTTTTTTCTGGCACTATAGTTTCCTTTTAAGGTTACGTATTGGGTCTGCAGGTGAATGAAACTTGTCTAAGTTATTGTTTACCTGCCCGTTAACAATCTGAAAATGTGACTGTAGTCAGGGATAAATCCATACATTATGTGTTTCTAGACTGAAATACTACATATGTTGTACTAGTAATATTAATATAGTATGGACAGGACCAGAACAAAGAATGGGATGGGGATAGTAAAATATGGACATGATAACCAGTGAGCTATGCCAAACTGTTTCTAAAATCCCCTTAATCTTGTAAAATACACTTCTGTGAAGTTCTTAGTATAGAAATGTGAAGTCAGGTATTGCATGCCTCTAAGCGGTCTCATTAGGTTGTTCCTAATCTATAATTCTGTACTGCAATGGTATGCTATGAAATACATTGGAGGAGGTTTAACTAATGTGTTCTGTTCTAATAAGGGTAAGGATTGAATAGGTTACGCTATTGTCCACCTCCACCAAAAAGGGGTATGTCCCCACATGGGTGGGTATACTGTAAGGATATATTTTTTTTTTATTGAGACACATACATTTTTCCAGTGCTTTTTTTTAACGTTTTAGATTTATTGCCCCACCTCACTTATATTAGGGTGAGAAGGGGTAGGTAGGTAATTATTATTCCTTTTTTAGGTGGTGTAGCTCGAGGTTTGACACACCACTATTTCAGGGGTGAATATTGGCAGGACCACCGGGAGGTTTATATAATTAATTAGAGCACCCACCTACTGCCCATAGGTGGGGTTTGGAGGGGGACATTAGGTCTTCCCCCTACATATTATAATAGCTCCCAACTGCTGAACATGTGTGGGGGTGGGTGGCATAAAGATATCACCCCTTTATTTATCACAAGCCCAAAACTTCTGGCCATAGGTAGGGACAACATTACTTATTTAAAATTCCTCACCTGATGACCCTGGGTTGGAACACGAGTAGGACTATGTTCCTCCTAGTTATTTCCCAGGCCATATCTCCATTGGATGGGACTTTTCTATGGACTGAGCAGCAAATGGTTTATAAGCTCAGTAGATATGCCACCAATTGCAGGTGGGGGGAGGGGGAGGTAGGAAAGTTTAAAACTCCTTTACGATAACATAGCATTTCTATTGACCCCCACAGATTTTACATTTAGTAATTTTTCAAACTTTAATGTAGCACCTAGCTAGCAAGTGCTGATCAGACATCACATTATTTACCCTTGTGCCCCCGTGGCTGATATTTGCTAGCGGACATATAGTACTTGAATGTAAGTGAATGATAATTTGAGAATCTGCATCCAGATGCAACATTACTAATTTAAATCTGCAGATTCACTTGGGCTGACATAACTCGGTAATTTGCACTGTATGTTGTCTGTCTGTACAAAATCTGGTGTTTAGTAAAAAGCCTTGTTTGTCACTGAGAGATTTCACAATGGAGGTGGCCATCTATGGATTGCATCACGTTTTGCAAACTGATGGTGACATTTATCATTTAAAAATAGTGGATTGAAGCATGTCATCAGGTTTCAAAACTTGTGATTTATACTGACTAACTTTATAAGGATCAACATTCCCTAGCACAGATAGGACGAAATGGATGTCTTAAATATCTTATGGCAGTATGGCCATCTGTTCCTCAAAGGAGCACTCCACACACTTAAAGCATATTAGCTTTTTAACAAAAATGGCAGATTTCAATAGAAATTGGCATCTTTATAAATAAACCTGTTACACCGCGCTGCATGCATTTTTTTTTTATTAAAAATAAAAAAAATTTATTAAAAATACTGTTTTGTTTTTATTTAATTTGCTCAGTCGAGTGTCCTTTAAGAAACTCCATGCTAGCTATATATATATATTTTTTGTTTAAAATAAATAAAAATGCTCAAAACCAGGCTACCCACACCTATCTGCTTGAGAATCTCCGCTATTTCCAACTGGCAAATTTTTACTCAAAAAACATTGGCAACTAATTGGAAACCCAGCCCCTGATCTTGTTTGAGAATGTGTGTGTAGGGATGCAAACTGTTAACAAACCTCTTTCTATCATATGTACTCTATTATCCAGAAAAAAAAAGAAAGGATCAGAGGCTACATATTTCCAAAGAGCCTGGTACTCAGCCCTTCACATTCAGATTATGGATGGTGACTGGGTGTGTATATACTGAACACGGTTATGCAGGCCTCAGTCACCTTAGCAATGTGTGAAACATTTTATAAAAAAGTAGCGATGTGGTATACAACGCCGCTATGCTTACACTAACATATCCCCAAAATCAGCAGCCTATTCTGGCGGTGCCACAGTGGTGAAGGTTCCATATACCATCTGTGGTTGCATTGTGCGGTTCAGCGCCCATACTGGGCACAAATAATAGATTTCCTCAAGAAGCTCTTCCCTACCATCACTACACTTACACCCTTGCAAATATTACTGGGATGTCCACATTTGTTTCCAGACATACATATCCAGAAGCTGTTGTGGTTATTTGCTAGGAGAATCTAATGCCCTTATCCTTACCCTATGGAAACAGACAACCTTCCCTACTCTAACCCAATGGATAAATGGGGATAATAACCTTAGAGGTCTGGATGAACTGCACTGGTCAGCCATGGGGCACAGGGACAAATACTATAAAAAATCACAGTTAAAATACTTGCTAAACTCTGACACGAGTAGTACGGTGAACCCAGTGTAACGGATTGCAAAACTAGGTCCGGCCTTGCACAAGTAATGTATGGGATAGACATATGAGTTAAAGGACCACTATAGCGCCAGGAAAACATACTAGTTTTCCTGGCGCTCTAGTGGTCCTTTAACTCATATGTCTATCCCATGTGTCCCCAGGGTCCCCCTCCCGCCAGGCTCTAGGGGGAGTAAGGGGTTAAACTTACCTCTTTCTCCAGCGCCGGGCGGGGAGCTTTCCTCCTCCTCTCCGCCTCCTCTCCTCCTCCTCTCCTCCTCTTCGGCCGAATGCGCATGCACAGCAGAAGCCGCGCGTGCATTCAGCCAGTCCATAGGAAAGCATTTACAATGCTTTCCTATGGACGCTGGCATCTTCTCACTGTGAAAATCACAGTGAGAAGCGCGGAAGTCCTCTAGCGGCTGTCAATGAGACAGCCACTAGAGGCTGGATTAACCTTAACATAAACATAGCAGTTTCTCTGAAACTGCTATGTTTATAGAAAAAAGGGTTAATCCTAGCTTTAAGCTGAAGTGATCTTGGTGCCTATAGTGGTCCTTTAATATATTTTTATATTTTTCTTTCCTTTTCCAGTGGTACTTTATGTTGGGCAATACCAATACATATAATACGAGATTGCCTTAATTTCCCCCAGAGCTTAATCTCCCCTTAATGGCCAGCGGAAGTCACCTGGAGCTCTCTGGACATGGCTGCTGATGTAGATCTTGCATATCCCCTCAGCAGGGGAGGGATGGCAGCCTTAGGCCTGGGGGGCAAAACCAGTCAAGTGGCCCATTGCACCACCAAATCAGTTCACCATCCATCCCCACCTTTTCCTAGTTTTATAACGGATATTGATGTTATGCTAATCTGTAGTTCTTTGCCATACCCACTCCTTCACGGCTCTGACTTTCAATGTTGTCAGAGTGCAGGCTGAGAATCTCTGAGCCTGTGCTCTGACTCACTAACTGAGCGCCGGAACTATGAGGGAGAGGCTATAATCTGACTGCACCTACTGCTGGTGCGCACCAGTGGACCACCAGCGAATTGTTTAAATTGAATATGCTGGTGTCCCCAACTTGTGAGCTGTGTTGGCTGCCGGGCGCCTCTGTTGTCATGGCACCCTGCGTGACCGCACAGCGTGCACACCCCAACGGCTGGCCCTGCTGACACACACTGATGTTACCACTTAGAAATCCCTCAATATTAATACAGACATCAGAGTAAACACCAATAAACTGTGGAAACAGAGCTGATCCCCCAAATTTATAAAGATTTGCATAGTGCATTTGTTGTAAGATTAAATCATGCCTCCTCTCTCTCTCCTATGCGCTGCTCTGTAGGCTGGGAGGAAGTGAAGAGTAATCACATTCTCCCAGCACAGCGCCACCTGTGGCTGCATGGGGAACAGTTGTTTAATGTAGTGCTTGCAGGACGGCCAGCTGCTGCAGAACCTCTTTGTTCCCATCTCTGCAAAGGGCTCCAGGCACTGCTTGCTGTGAGTGTGAGCCACTGTAAATTAGGGGCAGGGGGCACTTGCACTGCGGTAAAGATGGATCTGGGCAGGAGGAGAGTGCTGTTATGTCAGTCCACTCCCTTCCTGTGGGTCACCAGTAGACTGGTGCACCTGCCCAGGATCAGAGCCGGTGCAAGGATTTTTGCCCCCCTGGGCAAAAGAAAAATTTGCTGCCCCCCATGTGACATCACACTGCCCCACCTTTATGATCTGCCATATGAACTAATGTCAGTGCTGCACACAGTGTGTGTTTACATTAAAAAGCCTGCAGGGACCGACTATAGACACCAGAACCACTTCATTTAAGCTGAAGTGGTTCTGGGGACTATAGTGTCCCTTTAATGTGAGGTAAATTACAGATTAGTGTCACTAATAATATACTAGATTGCCTACTTACAACCAGATGAGGATGATGATGGGCTGTGGTTTGGCTCCACTGGTCTGGTGTAGAACAGGATCTCTGGAGGCTGTTTGTAACGGTGGTCACAAAGTTCAAAGTTCTAGTAGAATGGGAAGCAGCTCCATTTTTTGGGGGTCCCTTACACAGCTCAAGGTCTGGGCCCCAGGGCCTGATGGTGAGTATGCCCATAAGGCCCACCTATAAGTCCACCTACATGTTCCATCCATGAGTTCACTCACAGGGAGTGGAGTGTGTAGGGCTTGTGTTATGTGTTATTGAAGAGGATCTAATGTGTGCTTATTGTATGTAGTGTATAGGGATACCAGTTTGTGTAGGTGATGCAGTGTATTTGTTTGTAGTGGAAGCAGTGTGTGTTTGTGTATAAGGGATGTATTGTGTGTTTCTGGTTGTGTGTAAAGGATCCATTGTGTGAATCTGTGTGTGTATGCATAAAGGATGCAAGATGTGTGTCTGTGTGTGCATTGTATGTAAGAAATGCATTGTGTTTCTGTGTATATGTAAGAGAAGCAGTGTGTGTGTTTGCATGTGTGTGTAAGGGTTTGCATTGTGTGTTTCTGTGTATGTGTGCAAAGGATGCATTGTCTTTGTGTGTAATGGATGCATTGTGTGTTTCTCTGTGTGTAAGGGAAGCATGTTGTGTTTCTGTATGTGTAGGGATGCATTGTGTGTGTGTGTGCGTGTAGTGTGAAAGAGCTCCCTGTCCTGCCCCCTGTCCTATAGAGCTTTCCCTTCTGTCCCTTAGAGCTCTCCCCTGCCCCTTAGTGGTCTCTCCTCTCCCCCTTCCCCCCACCCCAGCGATCTCTTCTCACTCCCACCCACCCTCCCTGTGCTCTTCTCATCTCCCCCCCAAACCTACGGTGTTCTTCTCACTCCCCCCCTCCATGTGTTCTCCTCACTCCCCCCCTGTGTTCTCCTCACCTCCCACTCCATGTGTTTTCCTCACCTCCCACTCCATGTGTTTTCCTCACCTCCCACTCCATGTGTTCTCCTCCACTCCCCCGTGTTCTCCTCACTCCCCCCATGTGTTCTCTTCAGCCCCCCACCCTCCCTGTGTTCTTCTCACTCCCCCCCACGTTCTCCTCAACTCCCCCTCCTCCCTGTGTTCTTCTTACTCTCCCCCCTCCTCTCTGTGTTCTTTTTACTCCCCCCTCCCTGTGTTCTCCTTACCCCCGACCTCTTCATACTCCCCCTCGTTCTTCTAAATCCCCCCTGTTCTTCTTAATCCCTCTCCCCTGTTCTTCTTAATTCCCGGCCCCTTTCTTCTTAATCCCCCAACCCCACCTGTTCTTCTTAATCTCCCCACCTATTTGTCTTAATCCCTCCAGCCCCTGTTCTTCTTGATCCCCCACCAGCCTGTTTAATAGCAATCTCCCCACCCTCTGTTCTTCTTAATCCCTCCACCCCCGTTCTTCTCCAATCCCCTCTCCCCCCTTTCTCCCCCACCTCCCTGTTCTTCTTAATCCCCTCAACCCTCCCCTGTTCTTCTTAATCCCCCACCCCCCTCCCCTGTTCTTCTTAATCCCCCTCATTCTTCTTAATCCCCCCTCCCCTCCCCTCCCCTGTAGCGTGGCTGAGCTTCTCTCCGGTCCGCGGTGCCTGGCCGGAGTGATAGGAAGGTGCACACTCAGTGTGCACTTTCTGTCAGTCTGGCCGGTTACAGGAAACAGAAACTCTGCGCGGAACAGGAGTTTCTGTTTCCTGTACCCGGCCGGACTGACAGGAAGTGCACACTGAGTGTGCACCTTCCTATCACTCCGGCCAGGCACCGCGGACCAGAGAGGAGCTTGGCCACGCTACAGGGAAGGGGAGGAGAGAAGCTGTGCTGCAGCCACCTGAGGCTCTTTACAGAGTGCTCAGGTGTCTGCAGCATTAGGACCGGTCCTGCAGCGGACAGTTTTAAAATTATTTGGGTTGGCCTGGGGGGCAATTGCCTCCCTGTCCCCCGGCCCAGCCCGTCCCTGCCCCTCAGTGTTACATAAGTCCAAATTTCAGAAACATTAATTAACTTTATTATCACTTACCGACCACTAAACAGGTTTACCTCTCCCAGCTTTGGGGACTATCAGAAGTTTTTTTTCTATTTTACCTTTATATACTAAAACTACCGCTTGCCTTATTCACCGATATGGCAGATAGTGAGGAATGTTTGTCTGAATAGGGTACACTGGTACTCCAATGTTTATTTACATGACACCCTTTCTCCCACTAGTAACTGCAATATAATGTATAATGATCATGTCAGATGTCAGTCACGGGTATACGCATGACTTTGTCTAACTCATACTCGTACACCCTCTCATTGATGCACTGTATATGTGCTATTTATGCAATGTCTACCTGTTTTTAAGGCACTGTCTTCCTATTTATAATGAGTATACCTGTATGCATTATACTATATCATTGGACACCTGTATGCATTTACTCATATGGTAAATAAAAATTAATTTAAAAAAATGCTGAACAGATTCATAATACTATCAATGTATGGGGAAAAGAAAATACTTACAATAGAACGTTAAAACGTATTTTCACTGAAATGCAAAAAATAAAATGTATCAGTGATGATTTCTTTTCATTTCATGTTTTTGTAGCAAAAACGTGTGGCCTACATGGTACAGTATATTAAAGTAAATTAGAGAACAATTTTCAAGAAGGAAAAAAAAATCAAATCAAAAATCATTGTTGTCATGGTGTTACATTAGGAACTAACCAGCCTTTGTAATAATCACTTTTATATTTCTGCACATCAATAAATGTAATCAATGGTGATTATGAGTATGTGTATGCCAGTTGCTAATTGTGCCTTTGTGTTTATGACAATTGATGTTTTTCTTTGTGTATATGCATTAGGCAAAGTACAGCAGAGACAATGTGCATGGCCGGATTCATGTTCTCTGCAGCTTGGAAGCCAGTTTCCTCAATGCTGCTCTGCCTGTTATATATATGAAGTTTGGTTTAGTTGGATGTATGAATGTGACTAGTTTGGGGTATGTGATTGAATGGATGGATACAAGTAGTTTGTAGTATGACTGTATGGTCAATATGACAAGAAGGATGTCTGGATGGCAATATGTGCAAGGTGGATGGGAGTAGTCGACATGTTATGTGACCAAGTGTGTGAATGTGACAGGGTGAGTAGGTATGACTGGGAGGTGAGATGGGACTATCTGACTGGGTGGATATTTGAATATAATCAATTAGGGTATGTGGCTGTTGGGGCGGTTTAATGGTAATGTGTATGTAGGAGCATATTTGCATGAAGTGTTAGTGACTCCATCTCAATGATGGGTGTATTTAGTGGTGTGTTTTATAGAGTGCCAGTTTAAGCACACAAGAGCATATTTGTGTGAAGTTTTAGTGTGCATGTGTGGGGATTTAGTATGTATGTGTGGGTGTCTTAGTGTACTATATTTCTAGATCCCATGTTATGTTTTGAGAACTCATAACCCTCTCTTTCTCTACTTGTTCCAATCTTCTCATTACCTCCATCCCTCTCTTGTTCTTGTCAATTGTACGTCTCTTCATCCCCCATACCTCACTTGTTTGCATCTTCTTTCAACCATCCCTCACTTTTACACCTATTCTTTTCTCCATCCCTTACCTGTTCTGCTGTTTTGTACCCCTGCCTCAAACTATTTTCCCCCATTCACCAATCACTCCCCTCTGCTTACTTATACTCTTCCGTGCCCCCTCCTAGTCAATGACTTGTTCTCCTGTAACTGTAGGCAGCCGGTGGTACAGGAGGGCACGCAAGCTTATGATGTCATCTTTGGCTGCCTGTGGGGGGTGGGGAAGAGAGGACCTACTACCGTGGGTGTCGGGCGACAAGAGTAAAGAGCTATTTCTCCTTCTCTCCTGAGTACTCCTGTTGTACCACCGAAGATGCACATTTTTCAGCAGGGCTGCCCACTCCTGTTTCTCGCCTTGAGACTGTGGCTTTGGTGGCCTTAGGGCAAATCCAGCACTGACAATGTAACATACACAGAGATGTCCAATTCACCCAACATATACAGTGTAAGACATTTAAAAATGAAAATAAATTTGTTCTTTTTAGCAGGTGTTGCCGGATGCAGCTATTAATTATGATCTTGAAAACAAAATTCAGGAACACTTGACAGCCCCCAAGACAGAAGCATTTAAAGAAGATAACAAAAGAAAAGAAATCAAAGCAATCAATCCTATTATTTCACCAAAAAAAGGTTTGTATCCTTCCAAAAACAACATGATCCATTTCACAAATAAAAAATTAAATGCAAAAGAAAAATACATACATATGTGTGTGTATATATATATATATATATATATATATATATATATATATAGTGAGGGGGGAAAACTATTTGATCCCCTGCTGATTTTGAAAGTTTGCCCTTAAATGGAGTGTTCCTAACCTCAGCTCGTTACCTGTATAAAAGACACCTGTCCACAGAAGCAATCAATCAGATTCCAAAGTCTCCACCATGGCCAAGACCAAAGAGCTGTCCAAGGATGTCAGGGACAAGATTGTAGACCTACACAAGGCTGGAATGGGCTACAAGACCATTGCCAAGCAGCTTAGTGAGAAGGTGACAACAGTTGGTGAGATTATTTGCAAATGGAAGAAACACAAAATAACTGTCAGTCTCCCTCGGTCTGGTGCTCCATGCAAGATCTTACCTCGTGGAGTTTCAATGATCATGAGAATGGTGAGGAATCAGCCCAGAACTACACGGGAGGATCTTGCTAATGATCTCAAGGCAGCTGGGACCATAGTCACCAAGAAAACAATTGGTAACACACTACGCTGTAAAGAACTGAAATCCTGCAGTGCCCGGAAGGTCCCCCTGCTCAAGAAAGCACATGTACAGGCCCATCTGAAGTTTGCCAATGAACATCTGAATGCTTCAGAGGAGAACTGGGTGAAAGTCAGATGAGACCAAAATTGAGCTCTTTGGCATCAACTCAACTCGCCGTGTTTGGAGGAGGAGGAATGCTGCCTATGACCCCATGAACACCATCCCCACCATCAGACATGGAGGTGGAAACATTATGCTTTGGGGTGTTTTTCTGCTAAGGGGACAGGACAACTGCTCAAAGGGATGATGGATGTGGCCATGTAGCCATGTAGCGTCAAATCTTGGGTGAGTACCTCCTTCCCTCAGCCAGTTCATTGAAAAATGGGGCTGGTAATCCAGCATGACAATGACCCAAAACACACAGCCAAGGCAACAAAGGAGTGGCTCAAGAAGAAGCACATTAAGGTCCTGTAGTGGCCTAGCCCATCTCCAGACCTTAATCCAATAGAAAATCTGTGAAGGGAGCTGAAGGTTCGAGTTGCCAAATGTCAGCCTCAAAACCTTAGTGACTTGGAGAGGATCTGCAAAGAGGAGTGGGACAAAATCCCTCCTGAGATGTGTGCAAACCTGGTGGCCAACTACAAGAAACGTCTGACCTCTGTGATTGCCAACAAGGGTTTTGCCACCAAGTACTAAGTCGAAGGGGTCAAATACTTATTTCACTCATTGACATGCAAATCAATTGATAACTTTTTTCTGGATTTTATTTTGTTATTCTGTCTCTCACTGTTAAAATACACCTACCATTAAAATGATAGAATGATCATTTCTTTGTCAGTGGAAAAACTTCAAAATCAGCAGGGGATCAAATACTTTTTTCCCCCTCACTGTGTATATATATAAATTATACATGTAAAAAACAGATAGAATTCTTATCTTGTAATACCTTTTTTATTGGACTAACAGAATTTTTTAATGACAAGCTTTCGGGAGAACCTCCCTTTCTCAAGTCTGAAGCATTTCTGAGCAAAACGACACATAGAATTCAAAGTTGAGTTGTGATACAGGGGTTAAAGCGACATGAGTGCAGATAAGACACAGGTTTGTTAGAAAATAGACACCATCTTAGCAGAGGGTCATAAATATCTTGTTGAAGAGCAGAGTAGGGGGGAGAGAGGGAAAAGAAAAACAAACAAGCAGACAGTGCACAGGATGGTACACTTTATACATACACACACACACACACATAAATATGTATATTTGAACTCATAAACACATGTACATATACATAAACACATATACATACATGCACATGAACTCATATACACAAATATAAATTCACAGTAATACAGGGAGTGCAGAATTATTAGGCAAATGAGTATTTTGACCACATCATCCTCTTTATGCATGTTGTCTTACTCTAAGCTGTATAGGCTCGAAAGCCTACTACCAATTAAGCATATTAGGTGATGTGCATCTCTGTAATGAGAAGGGGTGTGGTCTAATGACATCAACACCCTATATCAGGTGTGCATAATTATTAGGCAACTTCCTTTCCTTTGGCAAAATGGGTCAAAAGAAGGACTTGACAGGCTCAGAAAAGTCAAAAATAGTGAGATATCTTGCAGAGGGATGCAGCACTCTTAAAATTGCAAAGCTTCTGAAGCGTGATCATCGAACAATCAAGCGTTTCATTCAAAATAGTCAACAGGGTCGCAAGAAGCGTGTGGAAAAACCAAGGCGCAAAATAACTGCCCATGAACTGAGAAAAGTCAAGCGTGCAGCTGCCACGATGCCACTTGCCACCAGTTTGGCCATATTTCAGAGCTGCAACATCACTGGAGTGCCCAAAAGCACAAGGTGTGCAATACTCAGAGACATGGCCAAGGTAAGAAAGGCTGAAAGACGACCACCACTGAACAAGACACACAAGCTGAAACGTCAAGACTGGGCCAAGAAATATCTCAAGACTGATTTTTCTAAGGTTTTATGGACTGATGAAATGAGAGTGAGTCTTGATGGGCCAGATGGATGGGCCCGTGGCTGGATTGGTAAAGGGCAGAGAGCTCCAGTCCGACTCAGACGCCAGCAAGGTGGAGGTGGAGTACTGGTTTGGGCTGGTATCATCAAAGATGAGCTTGTGGGGCCTTTTCGGGTTGAGGATGGAGTCAAGCTCAACTCCCAGTCCTACTGCCAGTTCCTGGAAGACACCTTCTTCAAGCAGTGGTACAGGAAGAAGTCTGCATCCTTCAAGAAAAACATGATTTTCATGCAGGATAATGCTCCATCACACGCGTCCAAGTACTCCACAGCGTGGCTGGCAAGAAAGGGTATAAAAGAAGAAAATCTAATGACATGGCCTCCTTGTTCACCTGATCTGAACCTCATTGAGAACCTGTGGTCCATCATCAAATGTGAGATTTACAAGGAGGGAAAACAGTACACCTCTCTGAACAGTGTCTGGGAGGCTGTGGTTGCTGCTGCACGCAATGTTGATGGTGAACAGATCAAAACACTGACAGAATCCATGGATGGCAGGCTTTTGAGTGTCCTTGCAAAGAAAGGTGGCTATATTGGTCACTGATTTGTTTTTGTTTTGTTTTTGAATGTCAGAAATGTATATTTGTGAATGTTGAGATGTTATATTGGTTTCACTGGTAATAATAAATAATTGAAATGGGTATATATTTGTTTTTTGTTAAGTTGCCTAATAATTATGCACAGTAATAGTTACCTGCACACACAGATATCCCCCTAACATAGCTATAACTAAAAACAAACTAAAAACTACTTCCAAAAATATTCAGCTTTGATATTAATGAGTTTTTTGGGTTCATTGAGAACATGGTTGTTGTTCAATAATAAAATTAATCCTCAAAAATACAACTTGCCTAATAATTCTGCACTCCCTGTATATATAAGTATTCATGCATACGAGTATGGGAAAGCATAGGTCTACACATAGTACTTTGTATATAGATAGAATAAACATATAGGAATGCATTTTAAATTGTTGGTACATATGACAGAATAGTAAGATAATGCTGGGAGAGTGTTCATGTAAAGTGTTGGTAGTGGGACAGGAATCCCAAATCAATATTTAGTCCTCTATTCTTACTGTTAAACCATTTAATCATTCTGGCTTCAAAGGCTTTTCTTTCCTGGGTATTTTTAAAAACCCCTTTCAGTACTTTGATTTTTAGGTCCTTCAGTGAGTGGCCAGGCTGGGTAAAGTGCCACAGGAGTGCAGTATGATTCTTCTTTGTGGTGTTTAATAGAGTGTCTGTGCATATTCATTCTGCCATTTAATTGCTGGGTGGTTTCCCCAATGTAGCATCCTAGGTGGCATTTTATGCATTGAATCATGTATACCACATTGCTGGATGTGCAGGAGTGTGAACCTTTAATGCTGTAGGTTTTATTGTTGTGTGTGGCTGTGTTGTCTGTGCATATGTGCTGACACAGTTTGCAGCGAGGTTTTTTGCATTTACTGGTCCCGTTTTCTTCACTCTTACCATCAGTGGGCAGCCTCCTGTTGATTAATTTTTGTTGGAGGTTTGGTGGTTGTCTTAAGGCCAAAATGGGTGTTTCAGGGAAAATGTTTTTCAGAGTCTCATCTTCTGTTAATATTGGTTGTAGGTCTTTGATGATTTTCCGTATTTCCTCAAGAGCTGGGTTGTAGGTGACCACAAGTGGACGTTTTTACAGCAGAGTTGATTTGTTTGGTAATAGTCTTTGGTTTGTAGCCTTTCTGTCTCATAGATTGGGAGAGTACATTTAGATGGGAATTATGGTCATTAGGATCAGAGCATATGTGATGGTACCTAGTGGCTTGGCTGTAGATGATGCCCTGTTTAGTATGAGAGGGGTGGAAGCTGGAGCTGTGTAGGTAACTGCACCTGTCTGTGGGTTTTCTGTAAACCGTGGTGTGGATTGTGCCATTATTACATGTCACAGTGGTGTCCAGAAAATTCACAGATCTAGTGGAATATTCCATTTTTAGTTTGATTGATGGATGGAATGTGTTGAAAGAGTCATGGAACTGTATCAGTTTTTCTTCGCTTTCAGTCCAAATTATGAAGATATCATCGATATAGCGATAATATTTGTATGGTTTGGTGTGTTGGATTTCTAGGAATCTCTGTTCAAGATCTGCCATAAACAGATTAGCATATTGGGGTGCCATCTTAGTGCCCATAGCAGTGCCCATGGTTTGTAGGTAAACCTCATTGTTGAAACTGAAGTAGTTATGTGTGAGGATAAATAGTGCCAGTTCTGTGATAATTCGGGGGCTGTATTTTTGGTTGTTGACATGAGAGAGAAAATGGAAGCAAGCATTGATGCCATCTGTATGTGGAATGTTGCTGTATAGAGATTCCACATCCATGGTTACAAGGATGGTGTTAGCAGGGAGATTGGTGATTTGGCTGAGTTTGTTGAGGAAGTTGGTTGTGTCTTTTATGAAGCTGTTGGTGTTGGTGACTAGAGGTTTTAGGGTATTTTCTACCAGTCCTGAGATCTGTTCTGTGAGAGTTCCCATTCCTGTAATTATGGGTCTTCCAGGATTACCTGCCTTGTGAATTTTGGGAAGCATATAGAAAGTGCCCATGCAGGGACTAGTTGGTATGAGTGATTGCAGTTCTAGGTGTAAGTTCTCAGGGAAGGATTTAATGAGCTCCCTAAGTTGTGATGTATATTGCTTGGTGGGGTCTTCATTTAATTTTCTATAGTATTTGTCATCTGACAATTGCCTGTCACCCTCTTTTATGTAGTCCTGGGTGTTCATTATCACTACTGCTCCTCCCTTGTCTGCTGGTTTGATGGTGATAGCATGATTATATTTCAGGTCATTTATAGCCATTTGTTCCTGTACTGAGAGATTATGAAACATTTTCTTTTGGTTTTGCTTGGTTGTCAAGGATACTGTTCTTAGACGGAAACTTTCAATGTAACTGTCCAGTTTGGCATTTCGTCCTGGTGCTGGAGTGAAATTAGTGTTTTTTTTCCGGTTGTTGTAATCCATTGTGGTTTCAGTGCTTTCTTTGTCATGGAAGTATTCCTTAAGTCGCATCCTTCTGAAAAATTCTTCCACGTCAGAGTAGAGCCCAATGTCATCAAGTTTTGTGCTAGGGCAAAATGATAATCCTTTGGAGAGAACTGATTCTTCTGGGTCAGAAAGTTTGTAATCCGAAATGTTAACAATACCAGATTTCTCTTGCCATTTCTCTTTCTCTGCCAAATGTTTGTGATAATCCTGCTTTAGTCTAATGAGTTTATTATTTTTCTTCTTAAAGAGGTCCCTTTGTTGCTTTTTGTAAAAATAGTGTAGATCATGTTCTAGTTGTTTAGCAATATATGTATTCTCCTCACGTAGATTTTGGAGTAGATATTGTTTTTTATTTTGTATGCTATATTTCTTGTTGTAGAGCTGGTGGATGAGATGGTTCCTTAGTTTCTCACTAGTGCGTTTACACAGGTTTTCAGCATACTGTGTTTTGTGCGTATTAGCCAGTGGATTTTTGATTTTTAGGCCTTTGGGGATCAGCTGTCTTTTCTTGCAGATGGATAGAAAGTGTATGTTGCTGTTGAGCTGTACTTATTTTGTGGTCATCTTGTAGATTTGCTTTTTTATATATTTATTATATATATGTATTAGCCTTTCTGGTGATGTATTCTTATATTACATTCCACCTGCTCTTTACATTCACTATGTTAAGTGTCTTTATTACCTATCATATTTTTTCAGTTGCATAGATGCTTCATCAGGGCAACCTTAAAGATAACTTATGAAATGCCATATAGTGCAATAAAATATGTGAATATGAGGGAATATTATGTGACACAAGGATGGGAAATATCAGAAGGAAATATATTTTTAAATCAAAATGTCAGTTTGAAATATTTTGTCTATTACTATATTGACAAAGTGCAGTCACTGAAATATCCCTAGTGACACTCCGAGTAACTCAGATGTTAAACTCACCTGAGTGCGGAGGTGGAGGTGGGAGAGGTGGGAGAGGTGGGAGAGGAGGGTCAGCAGTACATGCCCAGAAACCTTTCAGCTGTTTAGTACATAGCTACCTAATTTGGTATCATTTGGAATAATCGGGAATAATGGCATCTGAACTTTGTTACAGTTCCAATTTTTTTTTTTATTTGTTCTGAATCAATAACTTCCAAATTTCGGATGAGCCAAAATTAGAAAAGTAACGAACTGAAGAGAAGCAAACCAAAACAAATCTTTCGGTTCTGCAAATCCCTTTGGCATTACCAAATTTAGCAAACATTGTAGTGTTATTATAGAGGCACTGAAAGAGTCAACTTTGATTTGGCATGGTCAAATTCCACCGACTACTTCAAATATTTTGGGCACAAAATGAGGAAGTTGCACTTCCTCATATGATTTCTCAAGCAGAGTGGGAGGGCTTAGGGTACTCTGGCATTGCAGGTTTTTCTTGAATAGTTTGAAAATGGTTTGATTAAATAAAAAATAGTCCTATATCTATAAAGTCCCTGCATCATATCCACTGCAGTAAGCTATAGCAGAGACTATTTTATTTCTAATAACCCGATATGTATCTGTTTAAACCAGTATATTTTTTGATATGTTGCTTTTTTAAGATAATGTAGTAATTCATTTTAAAAAAGAAACACTCTATGTGATAAAATATAAACTGTTGATCTGGCCTTTGATGGCATTGTCCTGACTAGAGGTGTAAGATAGGAGACTCACCACAAAACTTTTAATATCATAACATGAATGCACATCTGATTATGAATTCTAAGCTCTAAGAGTTCATGCCAGGTGGGAGAAAAGTATGTTCAATTTATTTTACATTATTTTATTTTTTTAGACAGAAATATAGTTTTCATTGAAACGTGATAAGTATGAACTTTTTGGTGGTTACATATTGTTTAATGTGTTATTTTAGATCATACAGAGCCAGGTACAAAAGAAAATGATAACACCCAATTTAGACTCTTGGGATTAAGTTCCACCGTCTACGAGTCAGATGGTTCTAAAGAATTGCTAGCAGCCAATGAAGAGTCAGCAAGAGATATTCGTGAATCTATTCAACTATTTCATTCCACTGTGCACGATAAGGCGCAACCTGCGCATCGAGTAAAGACTTTAAAGCAAAGTTCATCATCATCTTTGGAAACTGGTGATGCTATGAAAATGCAACCATTGTATGCAGTTGATAAAGCTTATGAGAACAGGCAAAAATATGATATCCAAATGAAGAAGAGGAATTTAGTCATGCAGGTTTATAACAATAAAATACAAGCAAAATCTAATGTTCAGGGATTTCATGAAGAGAAAAGGAAGCATGTCAAAGAACAAAATGAAAAAGACTCAATCATTTTTCAGCAAGACATTGAGCAGAACCAGCTCACTCGACTCAACTTTATCAAGACAGCAAAGCAGAGGCAGAAACAGTTCTCTCAGGAGAAGCAACAAAAAGCATCTGAACATTCATTTGTAAAAGAATTTAATGCACAGCATACGTCTGTGTCAAACACCCTTTTAAAACATGATAGAATGCTGAAAAGCGGAGCGAAAACACAAGAGAAGATCAGATTTGTACAGAGTTTGAAAGAAAATGAAGAAAAACAGAAATCACTTCTAAAGTGCCTTAAGGAACACAGGTATTGTACAAATATGCCTCAGGGAATCAACTTCTTACTTTCTTTAAAAAAAAAAAATATATATATATTAACCCCTTCACTACCAAACACTTGTTTTCTTTTAAAAAATAGACAGCATTTATTTAAAACATGACGTACATTGCTTGCAGGCATACAAAGGACACAAAATGATATTTAATGAATAGACTCATGACAAGAGATATTCAAAAAGTACTTTTTTTTTGTGTTATATACTAAAGTAAGAAATTATGGCAAACCTAGCCACTTGGACTAAACAGAGACAATATGGTTTTAAGGGTTCCCTGTATATTTCCTGCAATTGTATGTGTGCCTGGTTGTAATCTGCTGTATCCTGTATGTTGTATTGCCTGTATTAGCTATCTGTCGAAAGCAGATAGCTGTATTCTGTTTCGTTTCACGAACAGCGTCTTTGCGGGCTGTTCGTGAACCGAATGAACTATCCTTTAATAGCCCACACACTAAGAGACGTGTGGCGCTTGTTAACCGATTGCAACAATGTTGCAATTGGCAATTAGAGACTCTCCTAGGTGGCCGTCGTTCGACTACCGACCACGCGGCGGTCGGCCATCTTGGATCCTTTGTCTCTCTAGCGGTGTTCGGTCATCGAGCGAGTGGTACTGAAAACGGCTACTCGACGGCGCGAACACCGCTGGGCTTCCAGGCCGTTCGGGAGTTCCGGGCTCTTCGGTATTTTACTCCCCGTATACCAATCGGTCTTTTAAGTGTATGTTACGATAAATATGTTTTTCGTGCGGCGTTCGGTTGTTTTAGCTGGGATCTGAGCGGTAATCTCACGAACTATGTGCTCAGACCCCAACTATCTACCAAATTTCCATTTGTGTAAATCAACCAAGTATTGAGAAAGATATATATTTTAAAGTAAATTGCCGGTTCTGCTGCACGGAGGGATAATCCACTTAACAGTACATTCCAGTGGGAGTGTCCCTCTCGTGCAGCAGTGCCTGATGGGAGAAATGCCCAGAATGTGAAGTCCCCCATGTAGTCCCCTACTGTGTTACTCCTGCTATGACAGTATGGAAACCCCTTGCATGGGGACTTACATAAATACTGGCTCCTGTGAATAAAGACCTCAGTTGACTCCCAGAGCTGTGTTTCGTCCGGTTACTGGGGGATTTGGGATATTGCATTACTTTTCAGCGTTTGACTGTGGATTACTGTATGTACCAGCGAAATTCGTGGGATTTAATATTGCCGATCCGCTACAGAAATGAAGGGAATTCAAATTTAATTTCACAATAAAGACCAAGGTAGCAAAGCTGAAAAGCATAAATGTTTTGGAGAAAATTTCCAGTTTAGCTAATTTGACATTAAAGTTGAAATTCCCGTTGAATTCCCTTCAATTCTCCCTTTAGTGAATAACTCTACACAGAAACTTTACACAGGTTTAATATTTTATTTATTTATCCTTTAATTATCAGGGAAAGGGAGAATTCAACATGAATTCAAAATGAATTGCAAATTTAAGGCTTTCAGCTATTTTGACCATAAATTGAAATTCTCTGAACTTACTAGTGGTCATCATTAAATAACTTTCTATCTGTTATTTTTTGGCATATCATATGAACATAAAAGTAGATTCAGGAGTAGGCCCCCTTCTAGAATGCTCCCAGGGTTCTTGTTGCTACATGGGCTTCACTGGGTCTCATCTAGGTTGCACTCTTTATATTTGCAGAGGCAGAGTGGTCCTTGATGTCTCCAGTCCCAGACAAATCAGTGGTAGGGAACAGGTAAATTGCAAGAGAGGGGATGAAGAATCCAGGTATCTTATCTAGGTTTGAAATATATTATTACTGCATGCTGGTAAGTAGGATGAAGGAGAGGTTGTCACGCTCATTTAAAAAAATTGCAATGATTGGTGATTACACCAGATCAACAGTGAATACAATAAACCTCAGAAACAGGCGTAGACACCAGTCAATAATGTATCTGGGCTCTGTGTGTGTATGGGTCATCTGGAATGTTGGGTCATTGGATGTTCAACATTAATCAAATGGAGAAAAACAGCAGTTGAGATAGGGCACTGTAAGTATAGAAGAAATTGTGAATTAAAGAGTGTGTGGAGATGGTAACATTGTAGGTCGGCAGTTGTGGAAGTTGACATAGTCACTGGGTATCCAGTCACCTGTAGAAAATTATTTGTTCTCAGAGTCATGAAATTGAAGGAGACCCCAAAAACATGTGAGCCAACACCACAATTTAAAAGCTATACACATTGTTTAGGGTTTTTTGTTAATTTGGGCTCCATTTTATAAGTGTTTTTACTATATCACATGGTGGATAGGTGATCTGGACAAAGGACAATCACCTCCTCACCTCTTTACTAGTGATGTCCCGAACGGTTCGCCGCGGACGGTGAACATATGCGGTAAACTTTGACCCTGTACCTCACAGTCAGCAGACACTTTCCAGCCAATCAGCAGCAGACCCTCCCTCCCAGGCCCTCCCACCTCCTGGACAGCATCCATTTTACATTCATTGTGAAGCTGCATTCTTAGTGAGCTGTCCAGGAGGTGGGAGGATCTGGGAGGGAGGGTCTGCTGCTGATTGGCTGGAATGTGTCTGCTGACTGTGAGGTACAGGGTCAAAGTTCACCGCATATGTTCACCGTCCGCGGCGAACCGTTCGGTGAACCGTTCGGGACATCACTACTCTTTACCATAAACACAGCTGGTATTATTCATGAACATAACCTTCTTAGCAGGGTCTAATAAAAATCTCTAAGAGGAGTATAAGATGCTTGATATTTATCACTGAAAGGGTCATTCATTTATAAATAATTTGCATAATGAAGCATAAATCAAAATGAAGTCACTCAAACCACAACAAAGTGGGAGAGTGAAAGCTGGATAGTAGGTAAGTATCTTGTTTAAATAACTGTTAAGCTTAGCTGGACCAGCACTAAATGTACATGTACACACAGACATGTGTCTCAAAACTAGAAACAAAATAGAAAAATGACTAGCCTTATAAGGCTTCTCCGCTAACTCATAATGGGAGTAAAGGGTCATCCAGTAAATTGCTTAAACTAATGGTAACTTTATTAGACTGCTTGTTTTAGCCCAGGATTTGCCCTGTCCCCAGTCTAGATTAACGTAAATATACCAGGGTGAGAGTAAATACCTTATTGGTGGAGGTGTCCAAGACCAATAGATACAATATCTAAGGAGTAATATACAGTATTACCAAAGGTTAATTAGAAAGTTTGTAGGACAGTACGATAAAAAGCCTCTCTCCCTGGTAAGCTAGCTAGATAGTTAGTAGAGACAGAATGAAAAGAGTGAGAGAATAATTCAAGTAATGAAAACATGGCATGTCTATATTAAATAGACATCCCAAGTGTATAGGTGATAGGTGCCCAACACCCATGCAGAACATAACGCCCAACATGCGTTTCGGTGCACTAGCGTGTGCACCTTCGTCAAAGGCAAAAAAAAAGTTAGTTTGGGGACAGGGAAAATCCTGGGCTAAAACAAGCAGTCTAATAAAGCTACTATTATGTACATTTAGTGCTGGTCCAGCTAAACTTAACAGTTATTTAAACAAGATACCTACTATCCAGCTTTCACTCACCCACTTTGTGGTTTGAAGGACTATATTTTTTTTTGGTTTCCTTCTATTCATAATTTATAGGATAAAGCCCTGCAGACACAGCTGGAGTGTCTTTACTGGTGCATAGATCCTAAGTGGTGTTCCTTTAGGTATCCTATTATTTGTTTGGTTTACTGTACCATAACACACAATGCTGCTCTTTGAGGTACACTCTAGGCACCCAGATCACCCAGTTTTAACCCTGCAGCTGAAAACATTGCCATTCTGCAGAACGTCAATGTTTTCATTGCAGGGTTTAAGTCCCTTTAAAGGCTTTTTCTATCTGATGGTATTAGAGAGATCATGTGATTGGTGCTGGGCAGAATTTTGCCACGGTTGTGGACTAACATCCCAATGCTTTCCTATGTGAAAGCATTGGATTAGCTGAGATCATCAACTTCGATGGAGGCAGAGCCAGCTGCAGAGACCAGCTGCAGAAACCAGTGCAGCAAGGGAGAAAGCGTAAGTAAAAATACTTTTTTTCTCCCTGTAGGTGGGGGCCGGTCATATAAATGGCCACCAAGGAACAATAGTGTTAGGAATACACATTTGTGTTTGCATGCATTGTGGAACCCTTGTCTTAATGATGGCTTACAGAGGGTTTACACTTATCAACGACAACATTAAAACCACCTACCTAATATCATGTAGGTTACCCTCGTGCTGCCAAAACAACTCTGATGCTTGAACTATGGATTCCACACAGGGCCCTGAACTTGTCCTGTGTTAAATATCACTACAACATTAGCAACAGGTCCTTTAAGTCCTGCTAGTTGTGAGGTGGTGCCTCTATGGATCGGATTTGTTGTTCCAGCACATCCTACAGATGCTCTTTGAACTCTTTGTCATGTTCCGCAAGTCATTCCTGAACAATTTTTGCAGTGTAGAAGGGTGCACTATCCTGCTGTAAGAGGCCACTGCAATCAGGGAACACCATTGCCATGAAGGAGTGTATGTGGTCAGCAACAATATGTAAGTAGGTGGTAGGTGTCAAGCTAACATCCATATGAATGTCAGCACCCAAGGTTTCCCGGCAGAACATTGCCCAGAGAATAACACTGCTTCTGCTGACCTGACTACTTCCCATAGTGCATTTTTCTAGGTAAACAACACACATGCACCTGACAATCTATCTCAGGCTTCCTCAAACTCAGGCCCTCCAGATGTTGCTGAACTACAACTCCCATGATTCTTTGAATGAAATAGATAGGCTGAGAATCATGGGAGTTGTAATTCAGGAACATATAGAGGGCTGGAGTTTGAGGAAGCCTGATCTAGCTTATCTAAAAGAATACAGCCAGACCAAACTACCTTCTTCCATTGCGCCATGCTCTAGTTCTGATGCTCACGTCCCGATTGAAGGAACTTCCAGTGGTGGATAGGGGTCATCACGGGCATTCTGACAGGTCTGAGGCTGCACAGCTTCATACGCAGCAAACAGTGATGCACTGTGTGTTCTGACATCTTTCTATCATGGAAAGCATTAAGTGTTTCAGCAATTTGAGCTACAGTAACTGTTTTGTGTAATCAGCCCACAAAGTCTAGCCTTTGCTCATGTGCATCAATGACTCTGATGCCAGAACACCCCACAAAACTTGCCATTTTTGGAGATGATCTGACCCAATCATCTAACCATCATTATTTGTCCCTTATCAAAGTCACTCAGGTCTTTTTGCTTGTCCATTTTTCCTGCTATCAATACATGAAATTCAAGAACCGACTGTTGACTTTCTGCCTAATATATCCCACTCCTTGACAGGTGCTATTGATATAATCAACATAATTCACTTCACCTAGCTCCCAGTGGTTTTAATTTTGTGGCTGAAGGTGCAGAGATAGCAATTATACCTTCACAACTAAATATATGCTTTTATGCGAAAATCTACTGCCAATTTAGCTAAAATAATAAACAGCTCTAAACCTTTGCTTTTTAAAGTGCACACATGCCATTTTTTATAGCAGGTGCAATTCAATTTGTGACAAAAGGCACAAACCACGCGGTAAACATGTTTTCTGGCTGAATTTTATGAAACCAAGGAAGAAAGCATTTAGCAGAATAAGATAGAGCAAGAAAATTAAAATTGTGCCAGATCCTTTTAAACTATTAAAGAGCTATTGTTCCAAGAGTACAGTGTATAACAGGCAGAGTGTAACGTTGATTAAATGACGGAATGCAATTAACAGTTTTTCCTTTTGATTTTTTTATTCAGGCGTTTAACTCTACAGATTGAAAATTCTGCAGAAAAAGAGGCACTTAACTCAGTTGTTCTGGAAAATGCTCTGGATAGATTGCAGGAGGCTCGTGGTCATGTTGCTAGTATAAAGGTTCAACAAGTTACCGCAGCACCTATGTTTAAAATACCTGTAAATCAACCTGTCTCCAAGACAATGTGTAATATTTAAGCCAAGGGATAATTGTAGACAGTAGCATCTTGATCACTATAAAATGTTACTTACAGCTGATAAAATGGCATATGTATTGTTTAACAGTAATTGCCTTGAAGCAATTTAACCTGTCACCTGTTTTATCTGCCAGAAACAGCCTTGCACCTGCTATTATGGATGTTTGTGCATATTCTTCAGATACAGTTATTTACCTAGAGGGGATGAATTATTCTAAATCGTATTTTTATTCACTAATTTCTGCATATTGAGTTTACAAATAATTTTCTAAAGTGCTGCTATGTGAAGAATTTAAAGGACTGTGCCATACACATAATGTATATTTGTAACGTCTTATCGAATAATTTTTATTGAACATTTTTCAAACTATAACAAAGTGAAAATTTGGGGAAAAATAAACTTGGGAATATGGTAGAGAAGAAAAGAAAGTGATAAAAAGTAAAAAGAGGAAAACCTTTTCTCAATCCACAACAATGTGTATACACACATATACATACATAAGGTATTGGTTCACAATAAATGTTTGATTTGTTTGAAATCATAAAATTAATTATGTTCCTGTTTCATTTTAGTCATCATTGATAATATCTAAATATTCCTGAAAAATGATCACACTTCTATAAGCGAGTTCTATTTTTGTTACATTTGAGTTCCGAACTTCTGACCACCTGCCTGATGACATCGCCTGGTTCACAGGACTTCGTAGAAATTGCTGGTTAAGCATGAACAATTTTCTTCTATAGTTCCCTATCTTAGGTTTAAAGCAAACTTGCAATATTTGGTTTTGGTTAAGCAAGTATTTGGTGCATGACTGGCTTACCTCAAATGTAGTCTCAAAATTGCCAGTCAGTGGGCACCACTATAAGTTTAGATGCTGATTATCTTGTGTGAAGGTTCTCAGAGGATTGAAGGACACATGGAGCTGGTAACTATGGTAAACTAGGAGGTAAATTTATTGCTACTTTATGTGACAATTGACACGTGAGAGTAAGAAATTATATAAGAAAAGTGAATTTAATTTTCCCATCCTCTTATCACCCTCCATTTTATGTAACCCACCCTCTCCGCTCACAGATTTGAGTGTAGCGAGTGTCTGCTCCATATGACTACTCCCCAATTAATATGCTTTTCTGACCTCCCACTATATCACACATCTCTGAATAAGGGCAGCATGCTTAGCATAAAGAGCTTGATTATTGTTCTAAATGTTAAAAAAATAAAAAATAAATAGGAATTATTACCCAGAATGTATATGCTAATAGTAGTGTACACCTAGTGGGCTGCATGTGGCCTAGCAGGATCGTAACTGAGGCCCTAAAACCAGATGGACACCACCTGTCTTTTTAATTAAAATTCATCTTTGATGAGTGCAATAAGTGTGTCATGCACAATCTGAGTTTTTACCAGTTCTAATTACGCAGTTACTGCTAGTGTGTAAAGGACATGATTATAGAGCTTGTTTGAATATGACGTATCATATTAAGAAAGATGAACAAGACTTGCTGATGGCAACCTTGAACTTGCACTGAGGAAAAACTTAGAGATGGAATGAGATACATGAGCCTTGTGGATGGAAATATTGGGCAATGGAAATGTGGGCTTTGAACTGGGGTATATGAAATGTAAGAAGATTTAATCAAAGGGGCATGAAATAAGGAAGGCATGGGGGGCCATGGCTCGAGCTCTGATCATGATAGTCGCTTGATTACTGAGCTTCACACCTCTTAGTTCTTACAAGAATTTCTGAAGACAATACCTAACGGTTATGTGGGACCCTGTTGGGAACGTTCATAGGACAAACATGGCCTTCCTGACTCTCCTCTGTTGCCTCTGACACAGGGACTATGACCCTGGCCAACATTGGGGTACATTTAAAACTAATGACAGCATAAATGGCTACAAAGCAGGACCTCAGACACATTCAAAAAACTTTACATGATTCTATTACAACTGCAGCTGCAGGGTTGAGGGTGGAGGTGCCGGTGCCAGAGACCAGGATACAGGCCCTGAAGACCCAAAGGAAGTCTTCAATGGATCTGACAATTGTGACAGGGTAACATGCTCCTAATAATGAGGACCTCGATAATCGGAGCCGCCAAGGGGGACATCAAAAGTCTCTTGACTTCCCTCTTTCAGCTGATTCTGAATAATGAAAAGCCGGAGCAGCTCCGATTCAAAAAAGGGCACAGGGCTGCTAGATATCACCTTCAAAATAGGCAGATGTGATCTGTTGTTTGCACTTATTTAATTTAAATGAGAAGATCATGTCAAAGGCCAAAACGCAACCTGTGTTTAGCTTCAGAGGCACAGAGATTTCTATCTCCCCACAGACCCTTGAGACACGGAGTGCTTTGAGGCGCACTTGGACTTTTCAGCATGACAATGACCCTACGCACAAGGCCAAGTTGACCCTCCAGTGGTTACATCAGAAGGTGAAGGTTATTTAGTGGCAATCACAGTCTCCAGACCTTAATATCAATGAGCCATTTTGAGGAAATCTCAAACGTGCAGTTCATGCAAGACAACCAAAGACTTGAAATTTTGCCAAGATAAATGGGCAGCTATACCACCTGCAAGGGGGCCTCATAGACAACTTTTAAAAAAGACTACACATTGTCATTGATGCTAAAGGGGGCAATACTCAGTATTAAGAGCTAAGGGTATGCAGACTTTTGAACAGGGGTCATTTATTTTTTTCCCTTTGTCATGTTTTGTTTTGTGATTGTGCCATTCTGTTATAACCTACAGTTGAATATGAATCCCATAAAAAATAAAGAAAAATGTTTTGCCTGCTCACTCATTTTTTCTTTAAAAATGTACATATATCATCAATTCTCCAAAGGAATACAAACTTTTTAGCACAATTGTATGTTTGGAGGGAGTGAATAAGCATGAAATACAAAACGGTTTAGGCACTCCAAGGTTCAGAAATTGCAAATTTATTGAAGTCCAATGTAACAACGTTTCGACTTACACAGTCTTTGTCAAGCTTGTGCTTTTTGCTTCTTAGGACATTTTAGGCAATACATGCAATTAACACCTTGCCTTCAGAATAAAGCATTTGAACTATAATTAGTAATTTAACACCACTATCATGGATGTACTTTCATTCTCTAGGGTAGCACTGCTCCTAAGGAACTCCCTTCCCTTCTTCATTAAACTATCACCCAGTCTCTGCTCCAAAAATAATTGAAAACTCACCTTTTCAGGAAAGCATATCAACTAAACTATTAACAGCTTTCCCTCCCCGCACCCCGATTCCTCTCCTGCAACCTTCAAAAAACAAATCACCTAAAAAGCCATCAGTGAATACTTTTCTAGCAACCTACTTGTCTACCCTTTCCTTACCTTTTGTGTCACTTTACCCCACTCCCTCTAGAACGTAAGCTCATTGAGCCCTCAACTCCTCTGTTCCTGTAAGTCCATCTTGTCTGGTGACAATTACATGTTTGTTAGTCCACCCACTGTAAAGCACTGCAGAATTTGTTGGCGCTATATAAATATTAATAATAAGATAGTAGTCTAAAAAATTCTTCTGAGTGTTAAGGCTGTGGTGGTAAAGTGGGCTGTGAAGGGGCTGTGTACTCAAGATTCTGTGAGCAGTAACTCTTTTTTACAGTGATGGGAGTTTACAGTAAGCAGTATATCCTGTATTCACAGTGCTTAAAGGATATAGGGCAGTTTAGCAAGGGTTAAATTGATATATAAGTGCTACATATTGGTGCCTTGGTCTTTTGAATGTTGTGTCATTATATTATCTTTATAATGACACTCACTGTTTTGAAATGTACATTTTAATATTAACATTGTTAAAATGAATCAACCCACCCACACAGCGCAGCCAGGGACCATAATAACACTATGTATCATAATCAAATAAAATAGGAAAACAAGATATAATGACCATATTCATTTGTAGATACTTTCGTAACCTTATTACATTCTGTTGCCATAAATTATATTTGCATTGTTCTTTTCTGACACAATAGTAGATGAGATATAGTATTCGATATATCCAGAATGAATTCTAACAATAAGATAAAATGAGCATTGTTTCACCTGTGAACTCTAAACAATAATTAATTCCAAATACAATATGTTTTTCCAGTTAGTAATTTAATTAATTGTTGTTTTCAGTTTTATTTTTCGTTTTTCAAATACATATCTTATTGTCTCAGCTCATTTCCACTCTACCTTAAAAAAATAATGTGAGTATAAGCAAGTTTAATTAACTATCATTTTGAATTGTAAATGCTTTAAAATAAAATTTTAGTTTTATGGTGTTGTAAACACAGTCATGTTTTCTTACTATACTGTGTTAATTTAAAGTACTGTATATTGCCATTATCTGATTGATGCTTTATGAACCGATATATGCTTACCACAGTGCTAAAAGCGATCAGTTTTTAAACTATAGGAGAAATGTACTTACGCTTAAACATTGGATTGCATAAAATGCTGTTTTAAGAGGTGCTAATTTGTATCTAACTCTGTTTATGACTTTTGTATTCAAACTAGTTACAGAATATGACTGGGCTTGCAATTCTCATCTCCCCATCTGTCACTGTCTTTATATAAAGTAACTTGAGTCTAATTGAAAACATTGAAACAACTTAATATCTTTCTAATTATCTGGTCTGCTGGTTTATAGTATACTGGGGTCTGAAGAAGGCACCTCTATGGAACCAATATATTGAATTCCCTTAAAATTTCTGACAGTTCTCCCTTTTAGTGTCTGTCTTTTGGACCGTTACAGCAAACAGGAATGCAAAGTGAACTTCAAATTTAAGTTTAACCCCTTAAGGACACATGACATGTGTGACATGTCATGATTCCCTTTTATTCCAGAAGTTTGGTCCTTAAGGAGTTACATAGAAACATAGAAACATAGAAACATAGAATGTGACGGCAGATAAGAACCATTCGGCCCATCTAGTCTGCCCAATTTTCTAAATACTTTCATTAGTCCCTAGTCTTATCTTATAGTTAGGATAGCCTTATGCCTATCCCACGCATGCTTAAACTCCTTTACTGTGTTAACCTCTACCACTTCGGCTGGAAGGCTATTCCATGCATCCACTACCCTCTCAGTAAAGTAATACTTCCTGATATTATTTTTAAACCTTTGTCCCTCTAATTTAAGACTATGTCCTCTTGTTGTGGTAGTTTTTCTTCTTTTAAATAGTCTCCTCCTTTACTGTGTTGATTCCCTTTATATATTTAAATGTTTCTATCATATCCCCCCTGAGTTAAAGGAAGACTACAGCATTAGGAATGCAAACCTGTATTCTTAACGCTATAATGTCCCTAAATTAACAGGCCGTCTACCACCTGACGATTAAAGGCTCCCTTGGCTCTCCCTAGGTCTCCTCCTTCTGCAACGTGATGGCAATGGTGGGCCCTAATGTGCATGCATGGTGCATGCCGAACATGCATTAAATCATCCCCCTAGGAAAGCATTGAATCAATGCATTACACATCTTGGAGATGGCTATAAGAGGTGTAGTTAACCCTGTTATAACACTCATTGACATGCAAATCAATTTATAACTTTTTTGACATGCGTTCTTCTGTTTTTTTTTTTTTTGTTATTCTGCCTCTCACTGTTAAAATACACCTACCATTAAAATTATAGACTGATCCCCTGCTGATTTTGAACGTTTGCCCACTGACAAAGAAATGATCAAATACTTTTTTCCCTCACTGTAGCTGACTGGGATACATTTTCCATTTGGCTAATTTGGCCTTAAATTTTAAAAACCCTTTGAATTATTAATACTTCTCACTTTAGCAAATAACACGGTTAAGGTGACATTGCAAAAAGACATACTCATTTACTGGCTCAATGAGCAACACCATAACTGATTGATGTAGCAGTGACCATGGTTAACTAATGCACCAAACTCTACAATCTTGTCTGCTAGACACAATGTACAACACAACCATGCCTACACAGAAAATACAAATGAGAGGGCAGTTTCGAAAAATAACCATCTCTCATTAGCCAGCAAATAGGAAAAAGGACCCATAAATACTCCAGCTCCGAAGACCCTCACTATCTATGAGTTGAATGCTTGCAGGTTTATTTGGCATTCGATACATGGGAAACATGCTACAGCTTGGTACACAGTTGCTGGTACAATGTATCAAAATAAGATGATTAAGAACGTGTTTTAAAAGTCCAGTCTGTACGCAGAGTGTCTGATAGTTACTCCCTGATTTGCTCCACTTTTAGTATTCCACCATATCTAACTATTGTTTTATAAATATGTTTCTACTAATTGGTCACATGTACAAAGAGCAATTGTAGAGGAAAGTTATAAAAGTAGAGCAGTCAACAAAAGCATTTTGTTGACTTCCATGGTTATTTTACCATTTTATTTTAATTTACAAAACTACACTATTTTTTTTCCCTTACCAATTTTGTATATTATATATAGGGCATCAAATTAAATACCTGTCTATCCTTTAAAAGGTTAGATATAAGTGTTATTGCATTTACTATAAAAAAGCAACATTACAGTTGAACCAGCACATTTATAGATTTTGGGTTTTTGTTTACCTTAGTCCTTAAAAGGTCAAAGAAATCCAGCAGGTTCTAACTAATAATTCAAATAATTTGAGCAATGGAGATTCTTTAATGGAGTTCTCTTTTTACTTTACATTGCTATAAAAATAAAGCAATTGTTTTTCAACCAATTAGTCTAGAGGGTGTTTGAATACCTTGTTTTCATTTATATGTATTTCATTATAATGAGATTGATTGCTATGAAAAATTCCATAATTGCTCCAACGCAAGGTCATTATGGCAAGAAGCAAGAATCTAAAAAGACTGTCACATTTCTGAAATAAAATATAATTATGTGGATTTATTAAAAAAAAAAATCTGATTTAAAGACATTTTGTGAAACAAATGTTTGCTCATTGCTGGTATGAGTATGAGAACTATGTATGGTGAAAAATAAGTGGTTTATTTGAGTTGGATCATCTGAATTTGACAACAGATTTGGATGAAGTAATTTAATTCATATATTAATTTTGTTCATATGAATCAGGTTAAAACTGTGTTCTTAAAATGATTGAAATTAATCGACTTGCAATGCTGTTCAAGTATGGAACAATATGACGCTAGTGTTTCTCTGTCTGCAACAACAACATAAAAGCAGACCATGTTATTTCAAAATTGTAGTCATTTGAGAGGGTAAACAAAGAGGGAGAAAGAGAATTGAAGATAAAAATAATGAAGAATGAGTGGACAATCGGCGATGCACTCACCTGTTTCACCTCTCCAGTAGTGCTACTAGCTTCAGTCCATTAATGGAACCCATTTTGCAGTGTGGAACCTCATTGCCCTTGTGATTTGTTGCTTCAATTCTTCTTCAGTTCTTCTTCAAAGCAAGATGGATACAAAGTAGCAGAAAGAAAGAAAAAGAAGAAAAAAAAGGTGAATAGGTGGGCAATTGGCAACTGACTTACCTATTTTACCCCTCTGGCGGTGCCATTCCATATCTTGAGGTTATAATTGGAACCCCTTCCTCCAGTGGGGAACAGCATTACCCAGCCATTTTGCTAGTTGCCATAGCAGACCGTTTCAAGCAGTACTATTTCTGCAACACCCCTAGCACAAAAAACACACCTTAGAAGAACACTTAGCTATTTACCAAACTTGGCTACTGTATACGGTATACTCTGATGCAACTGGAGATGGTGGTGGCACTGGAAATGCTGAGAAAGAAGATACAGGTGGATATTGCTGAAATGAAACAGGGAGGAAACTGCCTGGCCTTTGTCCTGCACTCTCTCAGTCTGGCTCATAATCATGTTCCTCCTGGTCCAGACTAAAAGCTATAGCTGTGGTGCTGGCATGAAGACTAAAATACTGACATCAAAGAATGCAAAAATTTGGACTCTTGCTCGAGTCTCTCATTTTCCTGACTACTTGGTACAGTGGATATATCTACTACTCCTCCAGAGTCTGTCCTTCTATTGATGATACCGCTGATGGTAATAGTACTGTTAACCATAGTTGTGCTAGTGATTACTCCTCTCTCTCTCTTAAAGGGAAACTATAGTGCCAGGAAAACAAACTCATTTTCCTGGCACTTTAGCTTCCCCCTTTCTCAAGGTCCCCCTCCCCCTGTGCAGAAGGGAACGTCCACCGATGGGGGAGGCCTAATGCGCATGCGCAGCAATGGCCATGCTCGCAGTAGGATTTCCCCATAGGAAAGCATTACTCAATGCTTTCCTATGGGGATTCCGGTGACGCTGGAAGTCCTTATGCATAGCGTGAGGACGTCCGGCGTCGTCTAGATGACCAAAAGTAGTCTAAGAACCTGGAAGTCCCTCTAGTGGCTCTCTGGTAGACAGCCACTAGAGGAGGACTTAACCCTAGCAGGTAATTATTGCAGTTTATAAAAACTGCAATAATTACATGCTTAGTGTTAAGAGTGATGGGAGTTTGCACCCAGACCACTTCAATGAGCTGAAGTGGTATGGGTGTCTACAGTGTCCCTTTAACTCTCTATTACAATGCTGTTATGTACTTGGAAGAAGCAATCTTTTGGACTAAGATGAACCTGCCCTGCTACTTTAAACCATAATGGCTATCTCCTGAGATCATTCATGGCAATGCTACGGTATTATTGGACAGTGAATGCTGAAAACATGATCACATGGTCAGGTCACATGCACATCATTCCAAATGAAGCAGCTAAGACAAATCAACTCCTTCCCTCAACCTTTTTCTGTCCAGAAACAAATTGAATGAATGAACAAAAATTCATGAGTCGACATGTTCAAATCATCATTTGTTTTTTGGTTTGTTACATGAATGAACCTATAATTCTAAAATTGTGATTTGTCCGAAAAAGAATGCAAATTTCTGTGTGTAACAATTACATTTTTTTTTTATATGGTGCAGATAGTAAGGCGATGGAGAAAGAGCTTTCAAATTTGATGTGTATGAATTAAAAATAATTATTGGGGGGCGTGGCCTGAACGCCGATGGAGATGGCCGCCTAACTGAGGAGCTCCGACCCACATAGCCACAACAAGCGCACAAATCCCGCATATAGGGCACGGAAACCTACCTGATGGGTCGTGCCAAGAGGTCTGATTCCCACCAAACCACGAGGGGATCACAGGGGGCTACGGAGAAAGGACCGCTCGACGAATACCTACACACGCCGAGCAGACAGCCGCGCACCGCCACAGGCCACAAAATGGCCGACGACCGGACCTCAGCACAGCCGCCCGACACGCAGGAACCCTCACTGTCGGACATTCGGGCTGACATCAGAGCCTTAACGGGAGCCATGGTCACGAAAGCTGACCTGCAGGCACTATCAGCCACGCTCCATGAGGCAATCAGATCGGAGGTAGCTACAATTCAGAGGGACATAGTAGCTCAAGATGGACGCATACAAACCCTGGAAGCAACTCAACTTACAGCAAGTAGCAGATTGGATGCCACTGATGCTGCAGTAACAAGGCAAGGCAACATGCTGCTACAATTAAGGAGGCAGACTGAGGACCTAGATAATAGGGGCCGAAGGTCGAACATCAGAGAAACCTACCAGAAGCAGCAGGAGAAGAGGATGTCCAGGCTACGCTGACTGCCCTGTTCAGGGAAATCCTAGGCCCGGACTCGCCGCCGCGCATTGACTTGGACCGCGCACACAGAGCCCTGAGACCGCGCAACGCTGACAATACACCCAGAGATGTCATATGCTGTCTCCATGAATACAGGGTAAAGGAGATGATCATGAACAAAGCCAGACTGAAACCAACATGGCGGTTCCAAGGAGCGGAGGTAGCCCTATATCAAGATCTCTCCCCACTCACACTTGAGGCCCGCAGAGCGCTGAGACCAGTGACACAACTGCTACGCAGTCGCAATATACCGTATAAGTGGGGATTCCCTTTCTGCTTACTGGCCAGACATAATAATGAGTGGCGGCCTTTGCGTTGGCCGGATGAGGTACCGGCTTTTCTTCAAGGCATGGGCCTTCCACGCACGCAGGTTACGGACTGGATCCTGAACCCGCTGGAACAGAGACCCAACCAACCAGCCCCGAGAGCACCGAGGCGGCGCAGGGAAGACTCGCCGCTCCGACGGCCGGACCGCAGACCTCTCAATCCGGCGCAACACCCAGTACAACCTGGAGACTAACGCCTCCCGTACCCGAAATGGCACACGGCAGTGAGGGGACAACAGGAGATGTGAAGATGGTCACCGACAGCTAGCACATTCACGGGACTTTCAGATAAGTACAAATAACTATTGATCTCCGACAGGACTATGGACTTTGACATATAACGCACCAAACACTGTCTCGCTTGCCAACTTTCGGAGCACTTAGATTAGAGGTGCAGGGACTGACAGGTGGAGACACATTATTCGGGGGCAGCGACGCAGGGAATGATCTGAACTTAAAGGGGGATTGCAACTACCGCTTTATTCCCAGGAGGCATCCTCAGACGAGGTCATAACTTGGGGTGGGGGGCATTGGAGGGAGGTAGGGGGCTTCACTCAGGACGCCACAGATGCAACACCTGAACTGAGTAAATGGTTTCGATGCCTACTGGACCCAATCAACATTGATGCACAATCCTATGACTTATGTGCCTGATATACCACTGTGGGGGTAGCTCCTTACGATGACGAGAGCGGAGGTAGGGGAAGGAGGGGGGAGAACCTGGGGACCAGCTCAGGCACACAATCAAAGGCACATTTCCCAACTTGTAACTGGGGGAAGGGGAGGGGAGAGGGGAGGGGGGGAGAGAGAAAAAGAGAAAGGAGAGGAGGAGGAATGGGGGGGGGGGGAAATTAAATAAATAACTCACACCTACACCAGGTTACATGCACCCAACGATACTGATGCGACAGTAAAAGGAAGCGACAGACGAAGTTGAAGCAGGCACCAAATGGGAAGGGGGGAGCAAGGGAAGAAAAGAGAGGGGGGTGGAGCAAGCAGGACATGGGAGGCACGTAGAGAGCGAAGGGTACAACACTAAGCCAAGAGAAGGCGCTTGACGAGCTAATCTAGGGACCCCCCCATAGCAGACTACAGCCCAGATTAGGGAGAAGTGTAGAGACAAGACGGAAGATCCCAACCCAAGGTTGAGGAGGGGGATGCAGACTCCCTGGGGACTTGTGACCCTCCCCCACATCGCAGCCAAAACCAACAGGGCACACTGCGAGACCTTCGCACGCCCACCCCGAACATAAGATGAGACAATCCTGTACAGATCGGGAAACCCACTGGAATTAAGCCATACATTCAGCGAACACCATAACCATGACAACCGACAGACAGAACAGACACGGATGATCACCAACACTACTGACGGAGAGACCGGAGGACCATCGACCGCACTGACCACGCCAACATACCGACCCTTCAGTAGGGACCTACATTAGCCAAACATGCACTAGAGCGAAGTGCACTACATGCGCCACTAACATTGTGGGGACGAACAGTCTCCTGGCTCACACGGTTTAAACCACATACCACACGCTAGGAAACGACGGTAACAACACACCTCTCCAGGCCCCAGGCCACTACCTGAACATTACCCGTGTAAACCAACCTACTGCGGGAACCACTGCCGAAGCCCAGCCGGGACCGTAAACCGGCGGTACGACACTGACTGCCCGACCAGTTACACGGAGTCACCCCACACTGGGGGATCACATAATACACAACACCACTTCACACCTCACATGAACTACACAAGGCAGCGAGCAGACTATACACCTAAACACTGACACACCTAGAAGAAAGAGCCACACACGACACACCTGGGCACCAAGCTCTAGAGTACTTTACTGACACCTGCCTCACCACAACTATCCCCCCTCCCCTTTTTCTCTTTTTTTTTTTTTTCTTCTACTCTTCCCATTTCCTTCCCCCCCTCCTCCCGCAGCTACCTAAACGGGGGCCCGTTGGGGCGCGCCCGGATCCTCCTGACCACAGCGAGCAGAGCTCGAACCGTCGGAAAGAGGATTGAACCTAAATAGTGGTACCCGACGCGGACACCGAGAGCTCACACATGGCTTACACCCCAGCGCCATTGGTGGTTAGGTCGCAAAACTGCAGAGGTCTCAACACCCCGGAAAAGAGATCTCACTTACTACGAAGCCTTAAGAGACAACAGATCTCCGTTGCCCTTCTACAGGAAACTCCAGAGTGGAATCAAACGCACTACTAAAGGACAAAAACTACCCTGTAAACTACTATAGCAATCATCCGACATCTCGCAAGGCGGGAACAGCGATACTCTTGGCGACACACCTGCAATTCACCCTACGGGAATCAAAGATTGATGAAGGAGGCAGATACCTCTTCATCAAGGGAGAAATAGCACTAAAAACGTACACTTTCGCCACAATCTACACGCCCAACACCGGACAAGCTAGCTTCATCAGACGAACACTCACGAAGCTATCACGGTTCACTGAGGGGATCCTCGTATTCGGAGGAGACCTCAACATCCCACTAGATCCCCACATCGACACCTCCACGGGTCGGAGTAGCATCCCACACTCGGCGATAAGGACGGTACACAAGGCACTCAGGGACCTATGTCTGGTGGACTCATGGAGAGCACGACATCCAGACGACCGGGATTATACGTACTACTCCACGATTCACAAAAGATACTCCCGAATAGACTACGTATTCATTCAACAGGAAGGCCTCACGTACATGCAGGGGGCAGACATATACACTACACCGTGGTCAGATCACAGTGCAGCACAAGTCACGATGACATCGCCCATGTTCAGACCAACTAGAACCGCATGGCGGCTGAATGACTCACTCCTGATGGACAAGATACTCAAGACACAACTCGAAGAACACTTACAACAATACTTCGCGGAGAATAACACCGAGGAGGTCTCAGATATGACGATATGGGAAGCACACAAAAGTGTCATCAGAGGTCACCTAATTCGTATGGCTTCCCGACGGAAAAAGGAAATCGGACAACAGCTAGCGAACCTCACGCAGAAGATATCTGACCTAGAAATGGCCCACAAACGAGACCAACAAGACCAGACCTACAGGGACCTAATGTCAAACAGACGGCAACTCTCAGAACTTATTGAGAGCAAACACGCCAGAACGATCCGAAGAACACGAGCATTCTTCTACATGCACGCCAATAAGGGGGGTAAATTGCTAGCAAGGATGCTGAGAGGAACACAAAGCAGGGCACAGGTACACGCACTGCGCACCACACAGGGCACATTAACTCAATTTCCAGAAGAAATCGCGAGCGAATTCCAACGGTTCTACACACAGCTATACAATACACGTGGAGATGAAGACGGAATTTCCCAAACCACGAGGAAGGCAGAAACGGCAGACTATTTAGGAGGCTTTCAACCGGATACCCTCACACCAGAGGAAGCAGAGGACCTAGAGAGGCCGATCACCGAAGAGGAACTCAAACAGGCACTGAAGGCAGCAAAAACGGGGAAAGCGCCAGGACCGGATGGTTTCCCGATAGAATACCTTAAGAAATTCGGAAACATTCTCATACCCCACCTAACCAAGGCATTAAACAGCATACACGAAGGACACACCTTCAACAGGGAAACCTTAGCAGCAATCATCACGGTCATCCCAAAGCCGGGTAAGAACACGGAGCACGTCGGAAACTACCGCCCAATATCACTCCTTAACACCGACGTAAAGTTGTTCGCCAAAGTGCTAGCTACAAGACTCCAGACCCACCTGACGAAACTAGTACATCCAGACCAGACCGGTTTTATACCAGGGAGAGAGGCCAGGGACTGCACCCTCAGACTATTCGCAGTACAACATCTAGCCAAACAAACAAAGACGAAGCTACTTCTACTCTCCACAGATGCGGAGAAAGCATTCGACAGAGTGGACTGGAACTTCATGACGGAGACACTACGCAAGATGGGCATGGGTCATGGATTACTAACTTGGATAACCGCACTATACAACCAGCCGAATGCCAGGGTCAGGGTGAATGGAGCTCTCACAGATAGCTTTGATATACGGAACGGCACAAGACAGGGATGCCCGCTATCCCCGATCATATTTGCCCTAACCCTGGAGCCGCTTCTGGACCGCATTCGGAATAACCAAGGGATCACAGGGCTCAGCTACAAAACGCAAGAACACAATGTCGCTGCATACGCAGACGATATGCTGTTTTTCCTTAAGAATCCAGTAGTCCATACCACAGTTACTGACCGAATTCGAAAATTATGGACGCCTCTCGGGGCTAAAACTCAACCTGACCAAGTGTGAAATTCTTAACGTTTCCGTACCCAAGACCGAATGCGCACAACTGGAATGAGAACTCCCATTTCACTGGTGCCATGAACGAATGAAATACTTGGGACTATGGATCACACATGACGTAAAGGACATCTACGCGCACAACTACACACCCCTTCTAACCACCATCCTTGGAGATTTAAAGAGATGGAACTATGCGCACATATCATGGCTTGGGAGGATAGCGGTTATAAAAATGAATATTCTCCTCAGGATCCTGTATCTTTTTCATACAACACCACAAACGATACCACAATCGTTCTTCGCAACACTCAAGTCGGCACTCATAAAATACGTGTGGAGAGGGGACAGGGCACGAATTAGATACGAAAAGCTCTGCCTTCCGAGACATTGGGGAGGGCTGGCGCTACCAGATGTCAAACGATACCACCAAGCCACAGTACTACAGAGGTTGGGGGAACTACATATAGCTTTGCCCCACAAAAGGTGGGTGACGTTATGGAGGGACACCACAGACAATCGATTGCACACGCTGATGTGGCACAAAGAAACGGAAGCACAAACAATTCTGGGAGAGGACTCTCCAGTTACGCAGACACTGAAGCACTGGAGCACACTGAGAAAGGAACCACAGATATCGCCCAAACCGAGCCCGCTAATCCCCATAACACATAACCCACACTTGGGAGATGGTCTCACGCCGTCGGCTTGGCCGATAGACAACCAAGAGGGATACATTCCCATACACATTATGCTTAATAACACGGGAGTGAAATCGCTAGGAGAAATAGCGGAAGGAAGACCGATCACGCCCCTGCACCAATTCCATTACACCCAGTTGAAGCACTACTATCATAACCTGCCACATAGGGCTAAAATCCACAGAGACCTTACGTGGTACGAGAATCTGTGCTCCCAGACACCGGAGGCAGACGGGAGAGTATCGGCGATATACCAAACCCTAATCACGGGAAATAGAGCAAAAAACAACTTACATAAGCGCCAATGGGAAGAATGGACAACTAAATCCTTCACGGACGACCAATGGGAAAAAATTTTGATACTTCAACACAAGAGCTCCTCTAGCTCCCATTACCAGGAGGTCAACTACAAGCTGCTAGCGCACTGGTATCGCACACCATCCCTACTCAGCCGATACATTCCGACTATCCCGAACACCTGCTGGAGATGTAACGAAGGTCCTGGATCAATACGGCACATCTGGTGGGACTGCTCGAAAATTCAAACATATTGGAGGAACATAGAACATGAATTACAAGTCATATTAGATGACCCCCCACGACTGACAATGGAAGCAGCCCTTCTACATCACACAGAACAACCTCTTCCTATATATAAAAAATCGATCATGAGGCATCTGCTAAATGCGGCAAAATCCTTGATCCCGCTACATTGGAAGAAAGAAGATCCACCCACAATGGCACAATGGAAAAGCAAAGTGGAAGAAATACGGAATGCAGAAGCAAAGATAGCCGACCTGCTGGGGAGAGAAGAACGGCACACGGAAATGTGGTCGCCGTGGCTATTATATGTAGTGTAAAAGACGAGACGCGAGAGGACACACAGTAAGACCCACGTGGAGGAAGGGACTTGGGGGATCCGGGCGCGCCTAGGGGGTGACCCGCTCACCTCAACCTCACAACCACCCCACTATACCACATACCTCCCCCCCCTCTACACACCCCCCCTCACCGACACAACCAGAGGCAACGCACAAACATGCTACAGAGCAAGACACAAACAGGGGCGATGCCCATACTGACATTGTAGAGCAGGAGACGAGCGAAACTCACGATATCGCTGGAGATCAAGAGGCGACTAATGGAGTTAACTAATACACAAAAGAGGAATTCCCCCAGAAAGGCGGAAAGCCGCTGCAGACAAGAGAAGACACAAAGCAACAGCACTACAGGGGAAACATGGGACTTCACTATGGACTGAGCCATATGACACACCACCACCACACGTATGGGTGGAGGGCCAAATACACACAGACTCACACCAGTAGACACAGGAAATGAATCCTGGAGACAACCACACCAACACTAGAACGAACACACACAGGGTTGCACCTACCTCCACGCACAAGGAACTCACATAGGCAAACCACACAACAACTAGAAAAGGCCACACATGAGTCCAATACACACCATCTGAACAATGCTCACCAGGAACATTGCAACCTAGATGGAAGCAATGACGAACACATACTTTTAGATGGCAAAGACGCGAAGAGGGAGACCGCAGGACCTAGGAGAACCCTAACGATTCGCTAGGGAGACGGTCCAACTAACAGAGATCACAAACACAAACGCAGGAAAGGAACACACAATTCTGGCCGCTAGGCTGGTACGACTACCCCCCACGATCCCCAGGCCACCAATAAACGCGGGAACACAGGGGAATTAGGGG